TGCATTGCAAACATTTGTTCATGTTGTTAGGTGATTGATCATTATGAAAACCCTCGTAACGTTGGATCGATGGACAAAGATGACGACAATGTTGGAACTGGTCTTGTTGGTGCTCCAGCATGTGGAGATGTCATGAAATTACAGGTAGGTTGTTCACTCTAGATTTGGGGGGGGGGGGGGGCTGATCAACTTTGGAATTTTTCCCTGGGCCTTTTGATTTCCTTGTGAAATGAGAGGCCCTGCTTGGGTAGAGACCATGATTGATTGATTTGTTTATTTGACTGCTAATGAAATTTCCACAGATCAAAGTCAGTGATGATGGTAAAATTGTTGATGCCAAATTCAAAACATTTGGCTGTGGATCTGCAATTGCTTCAAGTTCACTTGCAACCGAGTGGGTCAAGGGCAAGAATGTTGACGATGCTCTAAAAATCAAGAACACAGATATTGCAAAAGAACTTTCACTACCTCCTGTCAAACTGCACTGTTCAAGTATGTTGAGATATGTTTATTATTCATAAAACAATCACCCCCTCCCTATGTCACAGACACTAATATGTACAGTAAAACCATGCTGATATAGATACAATAGCTAAAATAATAAACAGTACACTGGGGCTCATTATGCATTAACCTATCACATGAACATACATTTCCCCTTGAATCATCTGATATCAGACAGAGTTGAGCTGGTTATTGTAGTTTAATTAACCCATTGCATTGCATACTACTTTATTATTTTACTGTTTTATGTCAAATGATTTTACTTGTCAAGGTGAGTGCACTGGCACTTAATGGGCTAAATATTATTTTCTTGTCTATAACCAGTGTTGGCAGAAGATGCAATCAAGGCCGCGTTAAATGACTACAAAGTCAAGAAAGAAGGATCATCACAAAACAATGCAGAAGTAAACTAAGATTTGAATAACATAAACGAAAGTTGTGTTTGTTCTACAAGAACTTAATTGCAACGTTATATAGTAAGGCATGGTAGGTACTAACCGAGATTGTGGATTTCCCAGGTGCAACAATAAACTGTATGTATACAAGTAGTGTGTGCCACGATATGAAATGTACATATATAAATGATAGTGATTTTAGAGGTGGAAAAGTTCAAAAATATTTAAAAATGGATAAAACCTTGAGGTGATTGTGTTCAAGAATTAGGAGGTTCCCAAAAACAACACTTTCCCAAATAAAAGAGACAGTAGAAAGCTCTTTTGTCGTTCAAATATAATTGTTAATAAATTATAGCCTGACAATTTTATATAGAAATCTTTTATCTGTGTAAAATTTGTCCAATGTCAGGTTGATCCATAGGTTAGGATTCCAGCATCTATTAATTTCTTTATCTTTGGTAAAACCTCAGGTCTGCTTGTTGCTAACATTCTAAAAAAAAATTCAAGCACGTTTTAAGCATGCAAGTGTGACCAATGCTTTATGTAGAGTTCAGACGTTATGCTCAGTTCAGACCGTATTAGTCTGCCTACTAGTGTTACTGCAAAAATCTGGTCAGTACCAAAACAAAACCTGCTGGGTTTGGTACAATCAAACTGGAAACACTCTTACGGTATCACACATGACTGAGGCCACTGCAATGCACTTAATTAAATGCTCCCTACTTGCAGTGTGGAAAGTTTGTATCGCGTGGGGGGAGATAATATCGGTGGCAGCGCAATTTTGATGCTTTCTATATATTTACTACTAAGTTTTCGAAATGCAGGTGCTACAGGGGTTAATATTCAGAGAACTAACCTTCTCGCCTCTGGTGGGTTTTCTTTTAAATTTTTTACAAGTTTACTAATCCATGGATCTTTGAGAACTTCCTGTGTTGCAGGGTCAGATAAGATTGCCCTCATTTTCTCTTCTTCTGCTTTTGATGCTGTTGCTTCAGATGTAACAGCCTTGCCGGCATCAACTTCAGATGAACTCTAAAAAACATGTTGGAGTTATTAATGTTACTGATAAGGACATCCCTTGCACAAAATAATTAGTTTTTAATTAATGAAGCACAAGAAAATATATTCTGTGAATCATTTTCAAATCCTGAAAAAATAGGATACGTAGGTTGGAAAAGTTTTAAAACATTTTTTGCTTGACATTGGTCTGTAATGACCATGAATGTAATGAGCTTGCATTGCTGCAACATATAAAGGGAGAAAACATCTCTCCATAATATCATTTTTAGTCCTTACTGTATTTTCAGCCATTGATGTAAAATGTTCCCCCAGAATGCCACAGAAATCTTTAATAAATGCCTGCAGTTCTTCGTTCCCTTGAACTAACTTCAAACCGTCTTCAGGGTTTGTCCTAAACAGACTCAATGCTTGAGAATATTTTGGGTCTGCAAGCTTCTTTAGTAAATCTGGTCTGTCTTCTAGCTTCTTGAGAAGGTTATCTGTTACCCAGTCTAAAGATAATAGAGCAGTTTGGTTGAAAGGTTAATGATAGATCCCAGTGTTTACAAATAAAGAATGTAGGATATTTATGCTGTTAATATCAAAACCTAAACACTGGTATACCTGTATCATAGGCCTTTGCCAGTGTGTGTCTGTGTATGTGCATGAGATTAAAGTATAATCAATCAATCGATTGTGCAGCAACAAGACACTGTAAACTTTTAAGAATGTCTGTTTTATAATATTTCATGTATTAACCTTTTGACCTCACAGCATGCATTTCTTCCTTTAATAGTAATAAACACTGGCTTTGAATAGCTAGTGTTTATAATGTAGGTAAAGTGATGTTTTAATACTGGTCTGAACAGTATACTCTATAGCTAGCCCTGATAATCTCTAATATCCTAGAGACTTGGTAGATCTACTTATTGCTAAATCAGAAGGAAAGTTAGTGAACCTAAACTAGACTAACTTTATACTGGATATATTTCTTAGTTCTAAACTGTTGTCCCTAGAAGTCCTAGAAATGCCATCTGATATTTGCATATACCTTTATTTTGTAAAAATGAAGAGGTCTCCATGGCTTTCTGTACCTCAGGAAACCTAAGGCTATTCGATTCTTCTTGTTTTGGACATATTGTAGGTATTCTTTCATCTTTAGCAGAAGCAGATTTGCATTGTTTTGGGTCAACACTTTTGCCTTTGGTTTTCTTGTTAAGAAAGCCTTTCTCAAACCCACCAAATGTCTGTGTATTGCTTTCGGTGCTTTGTTTTTGTGCTGTGCTAGTCTAGTAGGTAGAAAATAATGATAGTTTACAAGGGACTTCTTGTTGTGTTACAGCAATGGATGATCTGGGTCTGAAGGGGATGTTCATTTTAGAGCAATCTCAAATTGATCCAAAGCAATTTCCTTGGATTTTTTGTGGTGGAGTGTTCACAACATGAATCAATTAACTACTGTTATAGGCTACTCCACAGCATCTCTGGGGACCATTTGCAGGCTAACACCCATAGAGATTCCTACAGAGGAGGCTACTACCCAGTATAAGGAAGGGCAGTAGTGCCACTTACGTCAGATCCTTTGAAGTTTCTGTCTTCGCACATATCGCATTACGCATGTTGCTCAGCCAGTGATATTTTTATGCAAAAATATGCAGTTTACTGGCTAGGACGAGCCAGTTCAGCGTGCTTATTGGCCAGAACATGCAGTTCGCTGAACTGGCTCGTCCTAGCTGGTAAACTGCATATTTTTGCATAAAAATACGAGGACCGCTAAGTGGCACTATGCTCACTCCCTATACTGTGCTACTACAGTTAATAAACAGGGGAGAAATGTCAGGCTGTTAATTCAAGAAATTAGCTTGGTTGTAAAATGTGAACCGATCCAGTTTAAATCGATCTTAAACTGACCTCAGCTCATTTTTGGTTTTGCAAGCAATTTTTGAATTGATTTCAGATTGATCTAAATTGCTAGTGTGAACAGCCCCTGGATCATCTGGCACAAGAGGGCCAATCACCGATCCCTAAAAAATTGTACAGTACAGTAAAGTGACTAAAGTTCATAAATCAAATAAATTTTTACTTCAGTTTTTTCTGTCGACGAGGCCCGATCGTCTTTGATTTCCTTTGCACATTGCAAGCCCTTTACTTGCTCTATTAGTTCTGATAAGTCTTCTAAAGGAGGCACATCTACAGCGAAACGATTTCAAATAATAAGGCGCGAAAATGCAATATAATAATAACATTGACATTTTAGCTCATCATGGCAACAATGATTTTGAAATTACAAACACAAAATCATGCTTTGGTATATGGTTTAGGCTCAATAGAAAGACTCCTACTAACCGTCTTCGTCTACACACGCTGTTGCCATCGATAAAAAGTTATTCTATGGCATAAAACAGATTATTTTGACAACGTAAACAAAACGTGCATCCTTTCATGGGATTTAAATGCATAGTTTAAATGCCATTTTGACCGCGTGGTGACCTGAGGCGAGAATGAAAATTGGCGCGAAATATAGCAAAATTGGCAAAATTATCAGCAAAAGAATGAAAATTTATATATTTAAATGATTATTTTAAAAAAAGTGCCGGCTAAAAACAGCACTTTATTTATCAATTTTATGTACAATTCTATTGGCTAAAGGTTGAAATAGAATAAATGGCTGTATTTTTGAGGCCTGGTAAATGGTAAGTGATTGAAAAACCTAAAAATATGTAACTTTGTATTGTCGAATATTCATGCATTCTTTCATTTCTTTTGTTGTACTTTGTTTTGTGAGTCAGGAAACCGAAAAACCATTCGGGCAGAGGGCTTGTTTTGTTTTGTTTGTACTTACACAATTTTAGTTTGTATGTGGGGCAATTGGGCATTGAATTAAAGTTATTTTTAGAAAAATAATTTTAAATAAAAGTTCTTTTTAGTTCAATGGTGGGGGGGGGGGGGGGGGGCGCGATAATTGGGGGGGGTGCATATTCATATATTTGTGTTCTGCCCCACAGATTTCCTTTGAAAGTGATTGTTTTTACGGTATGTGAACATGAATACATGAATATGCACCCCACCAATTATCGTGTCTAGTTACAGCTGTGTTTGGGGAAACCGGAAACCCATTCGCTGGGTGGCCCTCTAGCACCTTGCTTCCTATGCCACTGATACAAGGCACTTAGGTCTGGCAATAAACAGTTTAATAAGAATATTAAATAATAAAATTTATTGTATTCTCAATACAGCATACTTTTTATAATAATTTATGTATTTAATATTTACTATCTACAATGAAAATTAATATATCTACAATTAAAATCTACAATTTCTATAATCTTTCAGTCAATGGCTCTATCAAATAGTTTTAAACTCTTTGAGATACTTGATTTCAACATTCAAGATTAAATCAATTCATTGTCGTACACATTACATTTAAAAGTTAGAATTGAATTCAAATAATTGTTGCTCAAATGTGTTTTGATGTTATTGGACATTCACCACGGTCGCCAGACAGGTTCAGGTCTTGTTAGGGGAGGCTGTTCTCGTGTGAGGGGGATAGGCCCAGAGCTCTTTGGGGAGGTGGGTGAACTATGAGATTGTGTTGTGGGAGAATTGGGAAAGGAGTGACCATGGTTGTACGACATTTTCATCAGGGAACTGTCAGAGTGACTTTTTGTGAGTGATTTTTCAAAATAGTTTATGAGGGGACTCTGGCAGTGATTTATGGTTGTGGTTTGATGTCCAAATGGCTGGGGGCTCATTAGGGTGTGTCCGGGTAATAATTCTGGTGGTTGACTCAAAAAGTGGGGTTGGGGGTACGGCAATGGATAACAGTGGTAACAGGGATCTTCATGGGTTGTACAGTGGGGTAGGTTAGGTACAAGTGGTGATAGTGGTGGTGAGGTAGGAGTTTGAAGTACAGACATGTGCATTGACTGACATGTGCTGTTAAGATGGGATAGGATATCTGAACGGGTGTTGTCATCCATGGAATCCATGGTCATGATGTAGCGAGTGACTTCTGATGCGCACTGGGTGAAACCATTGCGATACTGAGATGCCCCATCATGTCTTGGGTAACCTAGAGAATAAGAAAGTATCATATAGTACACCCAAATGGTTAAAACAGAATACAGTTTGGTAGGGGTGCACCGGAACTCGGTTCCGGCGGAACCCCGATTTTTTAGAGTTCCGGTTCCGGCCGGAACTAGTAAAAAAAGCATGGCCGGAACCGGAACTCTGTCTGTTTCAGAGAGATAGAATATCAAACGTTTTTGTGTCTAACAAAAGTTCACAGTAGGAAGAAATTTGGACTACGCAAGGGAAATATACACTATAACACTTCATTATGACGTTTAACGTTTGTCAATCTTTTTATTCTAACATTTGCGAACTCTCTCCTTGATGACCTGAAGTGTCTGCCTGTCTAGCAGCGGACAAAGTAACATATGACTATATATGGCTTAATATATTAGTTCCGGTTCCGGCCGCAACTTCCGGCCGGAACTTTTTTCCAGTTCCGGTCGGATCCGGTTCCGGCCGGAACAGTTAAAAAACTGGTTCCGGTGCACCCCTACAGTTTGGACAAGCTCACAAGGAGTTACATTTCAAACGTGAGAATTGTACAAAAGTATGAGTAGACTTACTATTGACAGTCTCTCTCAAGGCTTTTAGATGTTTCACGGCCATTTCAAGAATATCTGCCTTTTCCATCTTTGTATAACGTGAACTCTTTATAAAAAAAAACAAAAAAAGAAAGAACATTTAGTCACTTTAGAGTTATAGCGGCAAAGTCTTATTAAAAAAACGAGGGCTTTATTAAGCTTAGCCAAGATTAGACATCTTTCGTGGTATGTAGTCATGCGCTTTCAAGCTCTCATAAAATTTTGCACCGTCTGTGGTAGTGTACAGGTAGTGGCAATGATAAGAAAGCTGCTTTTATGAGATATAATTTAAAGTACTCACATCTTTGTTAAGAGATCTCAGCACTATTCCTTTCAATTCCCCTAAACTGTCATTAATTCTCGCTCTTCGTTTTCGCTCCAACAACGGTTTTCTTGCCTGAAAGTTGAAAAGGGAAACTAATTAGATGCTAAACTAAGGTAGTAAGGTATAACTTTACTCACACTGGATAGCTCCATCAGTTCTAAGGCTAAGCTAAAGAAAGGTAACTTTACTCACACTGGATAGCTCCATCAGTTCTAAGGCTAAAGTAACTTTATTCATACTGGATAAAGTAACGCTAAAGTCTAAGTTCTAAGCGCCATTAACTGTATTCATACTGGGTAGCTCCATCAGTTCTAAGGCTAAGCTAAAGAAAGGTAACTTTATTCATACTGGATAGCTCCATCAGTTCTAAGGCTAAGCTAAACTAAGCCAGGTATAACTTTATTCACACTGGATAGCTCTATTAGTTCTTAGGCTAAGCTAAACTAAGCCAGGTATAACTTTATTCACACTGGATAGCTCTATTAGTTCTGAGCAGTGACACAATGACTATAATTTCATAGTGTGTTTCACAATTGTACTGCAAGTAGGCTAAGCTAAACTAAGCCAGGTATAACTTTATTCACACTGGATAGCTCTATTAGTTCTGAGCAGTGACACAATGACTATAATTTCATAGTGTGTTTCACAATTGTACTGCAAGTATCCAATCATAAGAATTCAAGTACTCTTGGTCCAACATGATCAGGTGCATATCAGTAATAAAACACGTCTTTGTGGTAATATTTGGGACGCTAATTCGTACTTCTATCCTTCATCAAAAATTAAATAAATTTCATTCAGGATCTGTTTTCTCTAAACTTCAAGTCTTTCTGTTTTGAACTTTTTCACAAAAAATCTTACCGAGTCAACTGACTCATAGCTAATAGACCTTTCCCCTTATGCAGTGAAATTTTGATCTAGATATGCCTGGACAAAAATTTCATCACAGCTTGAAAGAGCATCACAAAATTAGTAATATTCCAAAGTTTCGTTGCGAATTGTTGTAAAATGCGGATAATATAGCCTTGCGAAGTTCGGCCGTTTTTCAGTCATTTTGCATAACGCACGGGAAATTGAAAATCAGATGATCAAACTGATTATCAATTTCCCATTTTGTTATACAAAATGACTGAAAACGGCAAACTTCGCAAGGCTAAATAATCCGCATTTTACAACATTTCGCAACGAAACCTCGGAATATTACTAATTTTGTGATGCTCTTTCAAGCTGTGATGAAATTTTTGCCCAGGCATATCTAGATCAAAATTTCACTCAAAAGGGTCTGCGTTCACACTCAAACACGGGAGAGGCAATACCGCAAAAAGGCCGATAAACCGTGCGTGAGAAAGGCTAATTGATTTAATTCGTATGTCAAGAACACAAAGCGGCATGCGTTGACTAGACTACACAATGAACGATAATTTGTTGAAGCTGATAAGTGATGTATTGTTTGTTTAAATTTGTCAGAGGCCTTAAGGGCAGTAATGCATCTTGAATAGCTCTTGCTTTTTTATTTCAAGACCACCTTGAAACGGAAGGTTTAAAACAAAACAAACGGAAAATAATATTTAGTAGAAAAGCGTGCTGGCACGGGCTAGATTAGCTGAGCTTTTGATTTTATTTATAGTGGGTATAGCTCTATCAGTTTTAAACAATTTCCCTATAAGTCTAATACACACCACCCCTTGTAAACAGCCGGAAAAATCGGCGGTTTATGACGCGCACGGAAGATATGCTAGTATCAATTTCGGATCTCGGATATTAATTCCGGTGCCAGGCATAGGATTGTGTGTCAGCCAGTAAGCATGACACAGTTTTCCATGCAATAGGATATGTTCGGGGATTTATATAAGGTGTGTATTTCGATGACTGGGCGTGATTTTTTGCTTCAATTGCATATGAGAATAGACTGAATAGTGTTTACAGTTTGACTTTACCAAACACCACAGATTTCCATCGGTTCCCAATAAAAAATGATCTTACTGGGAGAACAGTTTAGAACTGATATGGCTACCCAGTATAAATGAAATTAGTTTAGTTTAGGTTTTCTCCTCATCTCCTGTAGTAACACTGGATCAATAAGAGATGACCCTTGCTGGCCTCTAGGAAGAACAGTTTAGAACTGATAGATCTATCCAGTATAAATATCGTGTTTGACCGAGCTATGTGATATATAACCAAGTCTATAACAGCAAGTAAGCTCGTATTTCATCCCAGGGCATTTGTTTTCAGCTGTGAAGTACCGCTATAGTTATCAGTACTTAATGGCCAATTGTAAATTGGTTTGTGAAAAAATGTGGTACTAATCAACTTTCCGATGTAATATTATCAATGGTATAATACTCATGGCCAGGGGGTGATCAGAATATCAATATAATCGATAATGGTTGCTCAATATACCCGTATGCCTACAAATCTGGGCTAGCAACGTCTGCCTGAGTGTTAATCTTGGGCAAATGACTAGGACACCCGTATCTCAAGTGTTCAACCTATTCAACAATAATTTATTGTATACCGAAAGTAAAATTATCTAAGTATTAATATACCTGAAACCCCTGGACTGAGTACTGTATATTGTCTATACCATTGATAAAATTATTGCCTTGAGTGTGAACTTAGGCGTGGGACGCTTTACAATAAGAGATTGAAAGGTACTTGAGATTTATACGTGTGAACTACAGTCAATATATTAGAATTCATTGCGTAGACATATTGATTGTTTTGATTGTCGATACAGCGCAAATTACTAATATATTTAAATTAGTTCTCGTGTTCTATATCACTCTCTACTATATTACTGAACGTAATTTTACATTATCATCTCGTTTTATACAAACAGAACTGACATATAGAACAAAAGCGTGTTCGTCTTGGTTTTGTTATGAATATTGCTATAAATAGGAAATACTTTTCCCCTAGACATAACGCGAAGAATTCTAATTTAATACAACAATAATATACAATTCTTAGTCAGTCAAAGCGATTTGTTGTATAAAATTCTATTTTCGTTTCAAACTGAAAATAATGAATATTTTGTAGCAATTCGCACAATATGCTAAATTCACGCAAAATATGCAAATTAGGTGTAACATTAAAAACACTCCCTACCTTGCGATCTTCGACAGTCTTGACTCTTTCTGCTGCCATTTGTAATTTGCGTCTGCCGTCTAAAGAATCTGAACGTTGTTTCGCGCACGGCTTGCAGATGTGCAATAATTTCCAAATAGCTTTTCCAGGTTCTTCTCTGGCGTGCGTCGCGTTTCCTTGTGAGACGCCACTCCTGCCGTGCAGATAATATATATGCGCCACTTGCCTCACTTAGCGTGGGAAAATTCCTAGAGAGTTTTGAGCTCATTCTTTCCGCTCCACGCGGCCTTCCAGATAAACGGAATCCGACCGTGGGACCGGCGTGCGCTGATTGGCTGACGCACGCCACACTCCCAGGGTGTCGTTGAACTGTGTTGGCAGGAGCGTGAGACCAGGCGCTTCTGATTGGTCGAAACAGAGACATGATGTGTGCGTGACGTGTTGAGTGTATTATAAACGATTATCACAATAAAAACGTCGCGTGTCATAAGCGTGCCAATTTGTGGTGCTTGATGGTTGATATGGCGAGCACGGAAATATGTGCTATGGAATGTCGACTGGACTATTAGAACCGAGAGTCCTGGAGTCTTGAGCATGGATTACGAGATTTGTAGATAATACTTTGTTTATTTATTTATTTGTAGCTGGGCCAAAACTATGGAACACACTGCCAGTGGATATTAGATCTTTCAAACACTCATTAATAATTCATAAGCTTATTGGCAAATCATGTAAACTATAACATGTCACATGCAGTGGCTTTAAACCTGATAAAACACTCCTAATTAGTATTCTTTATATAAAGAATACTAATAAGGCAGTATCTATTGTTGTCGTGTCCTCATTAGTATTTTTTATATAAAATACTAATAAGGCGGTATATCTATTGAATTTGTATAGTCGTGTTTGAAGCCGTTTAATAAACTCGCAGGTCGTGTTTTATAGGTCTAAAGCCACTCGCGCTACGCGCTCGTGTCTTTAAACCTAATAAAATACTCCTGCTCGTTTATTGAACAGTACAAAACTGAAATTAATACTTTTAAATCGAAATTAAAGACCTACTTTTTTAAATTAGCCTACAACATATGACTAATAATTATAAGATGAATTCTATTTTTAAAATTTTTTACTAGTTTAAAATAATATATAAATACAAGACTTGTAAAGGACGAATTTTAGTACCATTTATATAAAAGATGTGTAAAATAGTATATACGTAATTTCAAAATGCAGAACAGTAATGTATATGCGCTATAGAAATTTTCTTGTTATTATTAGTTTCGCCATATTACAATACACAATAATATAACAAGAACAAGAATTATATACATGACTATCAGAGGCAGAGTGACCGCAACAGTGTGAGCCAGTTACTGCAGACCCTTTGTAACTAGCTCGTTAATATTAGCACCGAAATCCTAATTCTGTAGTTTTCAATATCAACACTTTGTTTGATAGTCGTTCAGTCTTAGTCATGATCTAGCGGATCCTTGGATTAAACTTGAAACTTTGTGACTCGGAATGATTCCAGGATTACACATGGCATGAGTCCCTGTGTTGACTCCATATTTTATCCTGCCAAATCTCAATTGCCTCTCTCAGACATGGTTATTTTGGGAACGATGTTTTTGTATTGTATTAACTGAAATTAATGTTGTATTAATATGATAGATGGCTCGTGTTTTCGTTCCGCGCTAACGTTAAATTTGTTTTAATGAATTGTTGGCTTTACGCTAATAATTAGAAGGGTGTTGGTGGCGCGCGAACGGAAGTAGAAATCATAAATTAACTACGAAACTAAAGTGATGTTCTTTATATAAACTGGAAATATTTATCAGTTCTATACTCCTCACCCTACATGTCCAGTAAGGACGCTCCCTTGTTGATTTAATTCTACTACTGGAGGAAATCTGAACTGAACTTAGTATATTTATGCTGGATAGTTCTATGAGTTCTAAACTGTTCTCCTTGTCCAGTAAAGGTCATTCCTGTTGTTTCAATACGGAGCCCAAGGAAACATAAAATATCTATAAGGACTAAGGTCAGTCTACTCTAGAGGCTAAACTCGTCTCCTTAGAGGACCGGTAGAGCTACTTTATTGATCCAAGGTTACTACAGCAGCAAACCAAATGAACTTTATTTGTCTGGGTAGCTCTAGCAGTTCTGTACCAATTACTCGCTCTACAGGTCCAGAAAGAGAGATTCCTTTGTCTTGCTCAAGAAGGAAACTGGTAAAATACCTCTTGATCTCTGTATTGCACTAATAATAGCTTTTAATGATACATTCTATTTCTACCAGAAAATCTATGTAAAAAGATCAGTCTAGTCTGCTTCGTGTACGCTATGTTGAAAGATGATACACTGAAAACAAAAATATTCATAACAAATATTATTCCCCCAATTCTCTCACGGCATTAGCCAAGAGCTATTCACAGCTCCAAAGTAGATCTGTTTTAATCCGCGTAATCCCTACACGTAAACATCACAATTTGTTGGTTATTGGGAGATTCGTTTATTAGGAAGTGGGAATATTAGTGAAAGTGTAAAGTCTTCAAAGTAAAACAATCAGAAGCATTTTTGGTATTCAATGAAAGCGCATGTTGTAGATAGCTGATTAGCATATTCTGCGCGATATTTTACGTGTCTCGTGTTAGTTGTATTTTAATAATTTTATACTTGCATAGACCGCGTATATATACATATATTTTTTATGCATATATAGGTTATCCGTTGAGACTCTATCATTGCTTGCATGAGTACTGGTTACCAATGAGCGCTTTATCATTGGTGTTTATATAAACCCGACAAACTATTTTATATATAAATATATATATTTGTGAAATTCATTAATAATTCATGAAGAAAACGCAAAAGAAATCATGAGCGTGAAGGAGTTTGTATATCTGATACAAAATTATATGTAAACTTTAAGTTCAATCTTCTCACCAAATATCATTCATTTATTTTAATTGAAGAATACGAATGTTCTCATCAAGACGTTTCACAACATTTACAATATTCGCGTCTGTTTTGTATGATATACCATGCCAGTATCCTGGTCGATACAACACAGCCACTGATGTTGTAAATAGTCCATATTTATTTATAGCGTTGTTTGTGATTCTGCTCTGCGCATTTTAATAAGACCTCATAATAAAATCCTTAGTAACAGGATGCGTGCGTCCTTGATATGTTAGTATTAACATCTATGGCAACTATGCGCCGCATGATTGACTCGCGAGCCGTGGGAAAATATCTGAAGAGTTCTGCGATCATTCAGAGGTGATCATTCTTATCACGACACGTGGCCAGCAGTAATAATAAACAATAGCAAAGTGAATTTAGAAAGATAACGCGGATCTGACCGTGAGATTGCTCGTCTGTGATTGGTTGGCGTGCGCAACACTCTCAATGTGTTACTGATCCATGCTGGCAAGAGCGTGAGACCAGACTCATCTGATTGGCCCAACGCGACCCTTAAGCCTTGCGTGACGCGATGATTGCATTATAAACTATTATCACAATAAATTCGTCGCGTGTCATAAGCGTGCCAGATTGGATATGCTTGATATCATAAGGATATCATATCACAAAAACCTAAACTCTCATGCAGCACGCACGGAACTATGACGACGAGTGGTATGCAGACAGCGTTATTTTTGGATGTTTTTGTAAATGATTTGCATTATTTACGCGCTCATTTGCCGGATTTGCATCTCTTGCGATTTGCGCAAAGTATAAGTGATTTCCATTTTTTACGCTACCATTAAAATCCGGCTCGAGCAACTTTATGTTTGATGATACAGGAGTTTGTATTTTGCATATGTAAAATATGTTGCGGTTTTCCACAAACCTGTCCAAAATCTTTGATTTGCAACAGTTGCACAATGCTAAGTGATTTGCATTATTAGAATATGCGCAAAATTTAAATAAAGGATTTGCATCTTCTGCGGTTTTGTAGAAGTCTGCGCAAAATAATTCGTGCCTGTTGTGCGCACAGGGATTAAAAAGTTAAATATAGTGGCATATTAAGGGAGCGTTGCATGTAGCTCTGTGGCTTTGAATTATCGAGTACGGAAGGTACTCGACTTACTAATTGAAAATTCTCCTGATAAATCAGTCTAAAAATATATCGAATATAGTGATGTCTTCAATTCTTCACCAGCTAAACTAAAGGTGTTACATTATAAATACAGTTCTCTGATTATAATGTCACCTCTGTTGCATGCAGTGGTTTAGTTCTGGGACATTCACCAAGGGGGGCTCCCAAGGAGTGGGGGGGGGGGTGACAAGGCGTGGGGAAGAGTGCAACATGATAACCTCCACACCTCTTCTCAAACTCCGCGCATGCATCAAGGCATTTTTCCACTGTACTTGATTTTATCAACCATAAACTAATTATCCTAATTTCTTTATTATTTTATAGGTCGGGGCTGTTCAGTGAATAATGATCCGTGGCAGCTTCAGAACAACGGTAACCGAACAAATTTTTATCATAATTTATAAAGTTAGTTTGAGCATTGCACCGGAATCGCCAGGTTCACTATTTCTGCCAGAGGGTTTATAGGTGCGTTTCACTCAAGCCTTATACAATAGGGAAACGCTTGGTGGTCAACTTTGCACATATTGCCGCTTTACGCCTTGTGGAAGCAAGTAAATTTCCTTAAATTGCATATATTTGATACCAAACACAAGATCAATACTTATAATGAATATTTAACTTGATCTGATAAATATGTTTCCATTTGGAGTTGACCACAAGTGCTGAACCTATCACGTGACTGACACCTAGCCTGCTTGCCGCCTGGAATTTCCAAGGGGGGATAATTCTATAGTTGCATTTTTCGCAACTGCCCCAGGTTTAATCTAATAAAATACAATACAGTGGAAACTCCGAAGAAATTCATATTTTTTAATTCAACGTTTCGACTACTGTTATTAGTCATCATCAGGAATTATGAAAGCTACTAGAAATTTTACAAGTTATTATATACAGGTGTGATATATAGAGAATAATACATGGCCATGGCTGCGCGGAAATACCAGATTTATTCCATGTATTTTTCTGTTTATTATATAAAGGACAGTGTTTGAAAAGCGATAATTTTTACAGAAAAGCGATAACTGAAAAGCGATAATTTTCACATGTGAGATTATATAAAATACAATACAGTGGAAACTCCGAAGAAATTCATATTTTTTAATTCAACGTTTCGACTACTGTTATTAGTCATCATCAGGAATTATGAAAGCTACTAGAAATTTTACAAGTTATTATATACAGGTGTGATATATAGAGAATAATACATGGCCATGGCTGCGCGGAAATACCAGATTTATTCCATGTATTTTTCTGTTTATTATATAAAGGACAGTGTTTGAAAAGCGATAATTTTTACAGAAAAGCGATAACTGAAAAGCGATAATTTTCACATGTGAGATTATATAAAATACAATACAGTGGAAACTCCGAAGAAATTCATATTTTTTAATTCAACGTTTCGACTACTGTTATTAGTCATCATCAGGAATTATGAAAGCTACTAGAAATTTTACAAGTTATTATATACAGGTGTGATATATAGAGAATAATACATGGCCATGGCTGCGCGGAAATACCAGATTTATTCCATGTATTTTTCTGTTTATTATATAAAGGACAGTGTTTGAAAAGCGATAATTTTTACAGAAAAGCGATAACTGAAAAGCGATAATTTTCACATGTGAGATTATATAAAATACAATACAGTGGAAACTCCGAAGAAATTCATATTTTTTAATTCAACGTTTCGACTACTGTTATTAGTCATCATCAGGAATTATGAAAGCTACTAGAAATTTTACAAGTTATTATATACAGGTGTGATATATAGAGAATAATACATGGCCATGGCTGCGCGGAAATACCAGATTTATTCCATGTATTTTTCTGTTTATTATATAAAGGACAGTGTTTGAAAAGCGATAATTTTTACAGAAAAGCGATAACTGAAAAGCGATAATTTTCACATGTGAGATTAGCATGAATAATCTCACATGTGAGATTATCAGTTTTATCAGTACTCGAAATCTCTTTCAAAAATCATTAATAATTCATGAAGCAATTATCCAATCTTGAGTAAGAAATTAGTCATGTGCATACGTCTTTATACCAGCTAAAGAACACTTTAACAAAAGACCATTGTTATGCAAAAAGATTTTTATATAAAGGTTTTTATATAAAGATTTTTATATAAAGATTTTTATATAAAGATTTTTATATAAAGATTTCAACTTATTCGACTCGCGGGTCGTGTTTTATTAGCTCGTGGCTTTAAACCTAATAAAACACTCCTGCTCGTTTTTTAAATAGTACATAAAGCACTATACTTTATATAATATATAAAGATTTGACTTATTCGACTCGCGGGTCGTGTTTTATTAGCTCGTGGCTTTAAACCTAATAAAACACTCCTGCTCGTTTTTTAAATAGTACATAAAGCACTATACTTTATATAATAAAAGTATATAACTTGTAAAAGTTTAGTAGCTTTCATAATTCCTGATGATGACAGTAGTCGAAACGTTGAATTAAAAAATATGAATTTCTTTGGAGCTCTCCCTTGTATTGTATTTTATTTATTAGAATACTCAATTTGTTACCGAAAATTTAGGTCAGATAAATGTATACATTTCACACCCGAAATTTCCGTCTACAAAACCCTTCTACAATTATTTATAACGGCCGTAAATGGGAATAACATGCATTATCCGATAAGTGAATCAAAATGTTTGAGATACTCTGGGATGTTGCTTTTAGTTCCGTGCAAAATCTTCTCACGGCGTTTCCAAGGTAACCGTAACTTTGTTTGGGATTTAAAAGTGATTAATTTTTATGTTAATTCCATAATCCGCAAAGAAGGTCATGCTAGGATTACACTGACCATGTTTACTTCCTGATTTAGGCTATACATAGATCTCCATTGTTTCAATTGGAATGTGTTTACCATTTGGAGTTAAATTAAAATTAAGCTCTGTAGACTGGGTCCGAATGAGTATTAGGGCTTTCATAATCTTTTAAGTCCTCAATGCAGGAATATTTTACTCAGTGAAGCAATTTTTGCACTAGAAGTGCTGTCATCTTTCTTAATAAAACTTTTAAACTACCTGATGAGTGTGGCAAACATTGCTTGTCATTACCTGAACAGGCTATAAGCTCTAAAGCTTGCAGAATACTTTAAGTTCTTGACTTCTTGTAAAAGGATATGTGTTGTAAAGAAGCCATCAATAGGATTAGAAAGAGCAATGAAATTTCATCTTTATCGTGCCGGTAGCTAGTTCGTGGTTTTTAGCCAAAAGTTGAACTTACAAATGTGACTTTATTACTTTATTCTTGCTATTGCTTTGTTAGTGGTTGAAAGCGAAATGAATGTACAGTGTATTTTAAAGAAAGTAGCCAGCATTAAACCTCATAAGACCCGGCAGCCGCCGGCTTATTTCAGTTGAAACTGAAGCCCTGAGATACGATCTTACAAGGCTGTCATAATCTTTTTAGTATAAAGTAAACGGCTGTGATGAGAAAGCAGGCAGCTGCCATCAATGCAGCGCTTTTTGGATCTGGCGAATATTTTGCAGATCTTATTAACCGTACAGCGGATTGCGGATTTATCTAATATTTTGGCTCAGATTGTGGATTTTCCTTGCAATTTAGTTCGGATTGTGACTTCATAGTAGAGCTTTTAGCGGATCCAAATTTAGACAAGACCATTGTCGGATCGGCGGATTTGTATACTCCTATTCACCCCCCCCCCCCTGCGTACGGGATAGCACTGCTGCCGGCCCCACAGAGTTGTGCATGAATGTTTGCTCACAGAGGGGGGGGGGGGGGCATTGGGGGGTATTCAATACCGTAATAGAGCAAGCAAATTTTGTCAATTACCGCAGTTTTTGAGTCCAAAATTGCAAACACCGTGTACCGCAAGATTTCCAATATCGTAATGCTGCAATTTTTCAAGGGAAATACCAAAATACCGTAAGAAAAATAAGCTAATACCGCCATATCATAAATCCCAATGTCCCCTTCCTCACACACTTTGATCAAAGCATATTTCGATAAAAAAAAATTCGTTGGATCTAATTAAACTTTTCCATCAAAGCGACGCTATCTTGAATCACATTGTGGTCTAGCCAGTAGGTCTATTGAGACTACACGAGCTGAATTCGGACGAACCTTGCCCAAATTCATCTGCTTCCACTTCAGTCCCCGTGGGAATTTGTTCGATAAGCGGAGTCACAGCCCACCTAGCCTGCGCGCAACGTTGACGATGTCATGAGACTGCGCGCGGGCTTCTCTTTCGGGCAGTAATACATATATATGCTGAAATCAGTACCCAAAAGTCAATACATTCAAAGCCATATCAGTTAGATGTATCCTTATGGCCGCAAGATTATAAGCGCTATTTGGCTTAATAATTTATAATAACATTATAAAATCAGTAAGTTAAATTTTGTGGGGGGGGGGGGCTATCGCGATATTTTTACCGGGGGGAGGCTATCCGCTATTTTTATGCGGGGGACCTATATCAGAGTTACCCGGCCTTCGTATCAGGACGGAAAACATGATATGAATGATATTTGATACGAATCATTTGACACGGGAACTACGTATGTAGGTGTTGATCACATGACTTCTGATTGAGTTACATCTTATCGCCCGTTCGAGATTTCTTACATTTATGGTCAGAAAAATGTCAGTCGGAGACGCTTCGTTAATTTAAAACGATTCAAAAAAATACAATCTATGAGATAGCAATCAAATTTATGCAAGAATTCTGATAGCCTTAACTTACAGATTTCTTTCACACTTCCACTGTGTATAAAAATAATAAAATTTAGCGCTTAAATTGCGCGCAGATCGCGGAAAAAGACATCTCTGATATAATTCAGTTTCTGTGTTTTACGTGTGTTTTAAGTTACGATATGCATAGCTATAAGTAGCATTCAAATTTATGCAAAAATGCAAAAGTTGCATGTGTATAAAAATATAAAATATAGCACATTGCGCTCAAAATCTCAAATTGTGATACGGGTCAACATTTTGCGCCAATTAATTTTGGTTGTGAAGAAATTGTTATAACTGGGAATAAAGTTGCATTTTATGTTGTTGTTTATTCTAGACAAAATTGATGTATAAGATTTCACTTCGTCTTTCCTCATTGTTATTTCATCAGCATGCTTGCCAAATAAGGTATGCATGAATTAGTCTTGCAAATGAAATAATGATACAAACATATATAGCATGTCTTGTGTCACAGAGGAAATTGGACACGACACTGTGTACACTGGCGAAACACTAATAGATTTACTCCTACAAGCTTCAGGTAATACACAAAGTGCTATCACTGCCGTTATCATCAGCCAGAATCTTCACAGATGATATACTTTTAAAGTACTGTACATGGCAACGAAGCGTGGTAGGAATATATGGCTGTAAACGTACACTGTTCCCAATTCTAATTGAGGATTATCTACGTTAATTCGCAATGGCTTCTATGGCGAAAAATTCAAAGCAACGAAAGAGTTCTAGCTCTGCTCAAAAGCCCGATTTTGGTAGGACACCATCGCTCACAGATAGTTCGTTGTTTGGGCTGCTCAGTGTTGTAAACTTGGATGATATTTGTCTGAAAACATTTCCGATTGATGCTGTTTTACCGGACGGCTCAAAACGGGAGGTTAGTTTTATCGTGTAAACAAACACTAATAATTCAAATTCCTTCCTACAATCAAGCCTTCTCCTTCGAAATCCCTGTCTGATGTTGAAGTTTGAACAAGCTTCGTCGTTGCATGTTAACAACAGCTCTACATCTTGTTCCTTCTACTGAATGTGTTTACTGCAGATTTGGTAGAGTTTATTGTTTCAAACTATGCGCTTAATTGGGAATTTGTCGTACATTTAAACATATATTAACACAATTTATATCCTTAATCCGACTTTATTCCAAGGGGTGGTCCGTTATGCCTTCAACCGACATAAGCGAAACGCCATTCTTTAAAATAGATTGTTCTAAAAAATGGAACTAATTGCTTTTGTTTAGTGCATGATTTAATAAAACTCGTGCAGCTTCGAAAGGAAATAGCCAGCAGGTTTCATGGGGATTTTAGTGTTGAATTTGTTGCATTGTTGCGAATGCCACGTAATTTGCGACAGTTTTTGATTGAATCGTTCTTAATTGTGATGTATATTGTAGCAGTTTAATAAATATTGTTCTTCGAAATATGTTTATATTCACATGCGGACGATTTTCGCTCGCTTTCATTTCAAATATCTGCCCAAAAATCTGTACATGTTTGTCTATTTGTCTTACATAAATGTACAGTGCCAATCTATGCGCTTATGAATATTTGAAAAACACAATTTTAATGACGTGGGTGTTTTAAATTTTGCGTGCTCGCTGTCGGATCAGTGAAATTATTGAATTATTTATAACACGAGTTTAATGGTTTTGCATTTATATTCTAATTTCCAACTCTGACTATGTTCTAAAATTGTGTCAAGATAATTGTATGTTCATCTGAAATTCATATCGCTATGATATTGAGTCATATGTTTACTAAATTTGGGGCGAAATGAAATTTAATAGTAATAACGCCTGTCGGGTTTTAGGAAATATCAAATCAATGTTTTGCATATTAAAAGCAATTAAATATTTCACGAGAAATCGCTAACCGAGAAATAATTGCTCGTCTGGAAATCCAACGATTTGGGAGTTTGAAGACGTTAATGTCAGAATTAGTATGAAAAGATGTTTCAAATCTATGGAGACGATTTTGAATGAACTCGAATTGAAACACAAGTCAACTGTGTACATGTCTTCCAAGTTAAAACCGCTGTCATAGCCTGTCAAACTCCCAACTCTCATTAACATTTCTCAATTTTGAGTTGTTTCAAGTTTTGATGAGAGCTGTTAAATCCAGTTGGTGAAATCTCGTCAACTCTCATGCAACTCTTGTAGTCGTTTGACCTGTGCGTTATAAGTTGTTACTTAAGAATTAAGATATATGTCGTAAACTCGAAAAAAAACCTTTGCTTGCTACTTCAATAGAGCGAGGCGGTCTTGAAATTCAATCCCGCTCGATTTTTTAACTGTTCTCTGAGATCTCTGCATGTTGTACATTTTTCGTAATGGCAATGTAAATATAACTTTTCGCCTGACTTTTCGCTAATGCATTAGAACATTTTGACCTCCTGGCCCCGTCGCGTTTGTCTTTTATTCAGTTATTATGTGAAAGGCTAACTGATTAATTTTTGAAATAGTTTCACAGCCAGAGAGAGTTAGAAAGCATTGTTTTTCACTGATATCTTTTGTTCGTTTACGCTTGCATTAATTAGTTTTAATGAGTTTTTGGACACGATATTTCCAGTAAAATTACAACTATGTTTTTTAAACAAAACAGCCTGTCAAGCGGTATCTATTTCATATTTTTGGGTTGAAAGTAATGCTTTCCATATGTTTTGATCAAAGGTTAATGTGATTACAGAATGGTGTGAAATTTTTTATGACATTAGAACGGCAATTTTCACAACCTTTTCTGAAGCAAGTCTGTTTTTTGGTTGTCTCGTGCTCAAAATGAATTTTATGGGCAATAACCACAATGCAGTGCGATTTTAGAAATTAAAAGTGAATCCAATTCTGTATTTGTTATTTTGTTGCCGTCTTGGGTAGCTTGCCTCGCGCAGTTGAAAAGGCAGAGATAAAACCACGTGAGGGTCTTGGATATGAAGTTTATTAGCCGACAATTTAAGAAAATACAATGTAAAACAAAAGGCTAATTGGTCTGATTCATAATAGAACTATTTCAACAGCTACAATACCCAAGACAAACAGAACTTAAAATTGGAGCATGCCATAATGACTAGAACAGTCTACCTGTTGAACTCAGGAAAATACAATACAATATCCCTGATTTCACGTCTTGTTTTTGTCCATATCTTCCATTTTTAAGGTGGCTTGAAACGTCATTGTTGCCATAGCAATGGCAGTTGTGTAAATTTTGTGAAAAAAATTCAAACCCTTTAATAGATGTTGTTTTACATCAGTAAGATACTTTCAACCTCGTGCTCAGGTTTTTGTTTTTCAACAACTAATACTGCAAGTGTGTACAAAAATACGCCAATCTAACTTTTGAATTTCTGCTGCTAATATCCTCATGTTTTGTGCATGAATATATTTTTCATTGATCATGAAGGTTGTCAGAAAAATCAAAATCAGTGATATCATCTATAGACGTCTTCTTCCTCTCAGCAAAAATGCGGTCGGGAAGAATTTTTAGGTGGGCGGCCCCTTCCGCATTTTCGCGTACCCTTTTCTATGATAAATCCCGAATAAAAACCCCAGTTTCAGAGACATATTTCATGCTGCAATTCTAATCTTGACGCATTGTGCGTGAAATATGATGATATTACCGAATTTCTTCATCTTAATTTATTCCAACATCTTAATTTATTCCAATATAACATTAGCTGACCGGGTAATCTCTCCAAACAGACTTTCAGCATTGACATATTTCATTCCTATTATAAAGGCCACGAGGCAATTGACATCTATATTTTATGAATGATTTATGGTGATGCCCTAATAACAAGCTCTAAACAAGCAGAGTAATATTTCGCTGTGTATCATATGAACAATTCTGCATTACTTACAATTACTTGACCTCTGGGGAGAGCAGTTTATAGTGGAACTGATGATAGCCAGTATATACATATATATATACGCAACAACAAAGTTATGTAGGCAGTTTGGTAGTTAGATAACACTTCTAGCCGTTCTAGGCAAAACTGTTGATGATTCTAGGCTTCTAACATTTATTTCAAAAGACCAACACTCCTCCCTATATAATCCAATCAATTATTAATTCAAAGTTTTGGCACCACGTCACGTTTTCAGAGACAGTTTTGACTGGCAGCGACAAAAGGTTCTTGCCCCCTGTAGATCAGTGCTGTCAGGTCCCATGAAACATAAACATCCAAACAACATCTAAAGCAGATTTGTTCATTATACTGTACAATAAACCTCTCATAATGAAATAATAATTAGCAGTTGCATACGAAAGGCTATTGGTAGTTTTATTAAGCACTTTCGTGCAGCAGATGGGAATAAGTCCAAAGGGTGTATTACTCCAAACGTCCTTGTACACTTTCCCAAAAATAAAAATAAAAAAAAAACTTCCTCTTTGAAATCAGAAGAAAAAGGATGTCACCTCGTGACCCAGATTTATGAGAGAACATTGTGGATTTTGTGAGAAATTTAAACAATGTCAAACGTGGGTGTTGCAGATTTTCAAACGTGGGTGTTTCATTTTGAGAACATGGAGATGTGTAGCCAGGGCATTTTTTAAGAAATTGCAACTACTGGGGCTAAGTCTCAATGAGGTCCTTTTTCCTCACACAGTTACGCGTACATAAAGACCATGCTGTCCTGACTTTAATAAGATGAAATGTCGAGAATGTGAGAGGATATGAGAAAGCAGCTTTTTCAACAAGGATGACTTTTTAATAATGATCAAAAGGGCCCAGCCCTTCTGAAAATATTGCTTCACTACTGGGGCAAGAAAAGGGCCTACTGGGGTAAATGCCCCAGAAGTTATGTAGTTCTGTAGCCCATATGATAGTGTTTACAAATCTGCTGCTTGGTATACGAAAACATCAATAAATTGTGATGATGACATGACACGTTGAGGACTTGATTGACGGAAAGTGCATATAAGAGGCGAAAGATTTTAAGAAAGATAACTAAAATAACGCATCAAACGCTGTAAAATAAAGCATAATCTGCCACTTTCAGATAAGGAGGATTCCTATCCCACGCTACTGACGAGACGAAGAGTAGATAGTTCAAACACTAACGGTAGCTTACTGTAGGTGGGGGTGGAGGGACTGCCCTCCCCCAGGATTTATGCCCATGCTTTAGAACTGATCCAGCTATCCAGTACTTTATACACATAGTAAATCATGCAATATTTTTCTATTTCAGTTAAAAGTGAACAGATTTTCCAACGTGAAAGACGTCATCCACGATATTTGCAAGGAATACAAACTCGATCACCCCAGAGTGAGATTCAGTTCAACCAACACCCCGGTGAGCCTGGACGCTAATGCAGCTCTACTGGAGAAACATGAGATCATAGTGGACGAGGCACGTAAAGAATCCAAAGATGTCAAACAGGGTTAGTCAATATTTACAAATGTAAGCCCTTATGGCAGACGTTTTGTCTTGTAGTTATTTGGAATTTGCATAATAATTGCGGAGGACTTAATTTGCTTGTCTTAACCAGCGAGGTCTATATGTATTCAGCATACGTTACTGCCACGATTTGCGGCTATAACTTATAGCCTTATAGCATGGCATACCTTATAGGTTTGTGGTTATAAAAGACACGCGTATGTTCGGCATACCTCACCGTTCTTTAAAAAGGAAGTTTTATATTTGACTTCAGCAGGAAATTTTTATTTTTGGAATTTGCTGACAGGAAGAAAAATATATTATCTGGGCCTGGTTCGAAAGCTGATAAGCTTACCCCTAGCTTAACCTAAACCTAACCTAAGATTATACTAAAACTGTCTGTACCAGTGTGGGTAGCACCAATGTGAAATTGCTGTGCTGAGTGGTTATATTACTACCTGAATAAAACAAGCAGAAACTCAACGTTTCGAAGGGCCTTCGCTCGAAACGTCGATGAGTTTCTGCTTGTTTTTTTTTTCAGGTAGTAATATAACCACTCAGCACAGTAACCTAAGATTAACCTACCTTGATTGTCTGCTATTGTTTTTCAGAGGATCCCCGCCTTACCCATTTGAAAAATATCATAAATGGTGAGGAGAAATACCTGGAGTCATTAAAGGTTACTGTCGAGGTGTATGGAGAAGTGCTAAGGTATATATTCAATGAAACCGCATTTGATTGGTTAATCGGGTAGATTAAATACATCTGATTGGTTAATGGAGACGGTAGTGGACCTCTCTAGTTTCCCAGAGTCGTTGTAACCAAGGGTGAGTAGTGGCGAAGTAGTTGTATTTCGCTACTGTAGCGAACTACAATTTTCAAGGAGCCAGTAGTTTTTGACTACTTTTTCAAAACAGTAGCTGTAGTTATAGCGAACTACATTTTGCCTAAAAGTAGCCAAGTAGTTGTCTACTTTTCAAACAGTGAATCGCTATTCGCTACTTTTTAAAATTGTTAACAACTTGATAGAATAGCATGATATTGAGACACGGAGTTGCTTAAAATCAATACTCAATAGTCGATCATTGCACTCTTGAACACTGACTGTAGTGCTTACAAAAATGTTACTTTGTGTTTACTGTTGCTACTCGTAAGTCGATTTGTAAAAGGTTACATTACAGCCTGAGTTAGTAGATGCTCCAAATACAGTAGAACTAAAAAATATAGCATAGCAAAATAGCGAAATAGTTCGCTACGTTTTTTAAGCAGTAGCTGTAGTCAGTAGCGAACTACCTTTGTTCAAAAGTAACAGTAGTTGTAGCCGACTACATATTTTTGAAGTAGCTGTAGTTATAGCGAACTACAAAAATGTTGTAGTCAACGCACCCTTAATTGGTTGTAACACTGAAACTAATGAGCACTTCTTTCTTCCTTGATAGAAAAAGTTCCTTGAATCATCTTGATCATGGTATTATATTTGGAAGGTTGAAACCAATCCAGGAAGCAACAGCATCACTGCTGCTCAAGGTAGAAATTACACAAGACATAATGGACATTTTATCTAGTCTGAGTCTGGTTTACACTATCAAAGTTTCTGTGATCACAGTAGGACATTTGTATCGAAAACTCTAAGTTTTGAAAGATTTGTAAGAAATGTTTGAAGGAACATACTCACTGTTAAACACTAACGCCCGTATTCTAAAAGTTCACTCACACTCAATGAGTGGAAGTTCAATCTGAGCTTCTCTTGAGTGTCATTGCTGTTTTTGAACAGCTGGTGGGCTAGTGTCATACCTTACTATGTGACTACTCACTCTCCAGCTATTCAAAAACAGCATTGACACTCAAGAGAAGCTCAGATTGAACCTCCACTCATTGAGTGTGAGTGAGCTTTTAGAATACGGGCGTAAGTCAGTTCCCTCAAGAAACTTATGCGAAATTCCTACTGTAGTCACAGAAACTTTGATAGTTTAAACCAACCAGCCTTATGTTTTCACATGTTTTTGAAATGGAATATTTTGTTTTTTCCAACTGGATATAGTTAAAAGACGTTCGCGATGGTTGGAATTCATCTTCATACATTGGTAATGTCCACATTTCTCAATGATCTCCAAATAGATCTGGAGTGAGATCTTGAGTCCAAAAACTCAAGATGGAGCTATTGCACGTCAGTTTCACTCTCTCAGTTCTATTCGGTTTTTGTCTGCGTAGAGTGTGCGGAAATTTCGTACTTTGACTTCGATTTAAAGAATAATACTGTGATTTATGCACTGATAACTTGGTTAGCGATACGTTCAGTTAGAATAAGACTGGATTTAGCTGGGAAAAATAGTATTGAAATGGTCCACAACCTTCATAGCTATTGGACGACAATTCCGCCATCTTGCCTTTCACTCTGTTCTTGCTCCAGATATATACAGAACTCAGACCCTGTTCACACGATACCGGCAGATTTTGAAAACGGAACGAAATTCTACCGTCAGATAACCTGATTAATCCTGGCGAATGAAAACATAAGGGAGTGCCATGTGAACGCCTAACCGTAAGAATTTCATTACGGTTATGCAAAATGAAATTAACAAAACTGCAAAAGTTGTTGTTGGATATTTTATTCTGTTGTGCAGCATATTGTCAAAGCGGAATATAATCGGCCGGTATCGTGTGAACAGTTGGAACCGTGATGATTTTCTGCCGGCACAATTCCATGCCGGTATCGTGTGAACGGGGTCTCAGTGACATTTCTGTCTACTATTTAAGTGTTCAACTGCACTGGAATGATTAGTTTATTTATTTTTTAGCGACTGCGTTTAGTGATTTACCAGATCTTCTCTGGACTTATGACAATTATTTTTCACGTCTTACTGCATCCAAAAGGTTTGTATTTACCAGTTCTGTCTAAACTGACCTTCACAGAGCCACAGAAATCCAACTTATGCCATCCCTTATTGCGCATATTTATCCTTGTACTTGGTAAGATCTTATCCACTTGAGCGTGGCCTTGCCTGATCGCTGCATTTGGTATGTGCTAGGAGTTTTATCCAGGTTCTCCTGTCCTTTGCTCAACGGCTGGCTGTAGGAATATCACCGTATTCGCCCAAACGATCTTTGACGTCTGCAGCAAGTGTTTGTAGAATACTGAGACGAGGACGCCCAACACTGCGATGCTCATGGGAGGGAGTCCAGCGCGGTAGGAATCTGGGAACTCGGGTGGCATCCAACCGAGAGATATGACCGAAGTAGCGCATACAGTTGAGGTGCATATTCATTAGTTCTGTTTATGCCACCTTTCACAGAGCCACAGAAATCCTGTTATGCCATCCCGTGTTGTCTCATGCTGGAAGCTTCCTTCTCACATGCGACTTAGGCAAAATTATAATCAGACAATTGCATATTGCCGGATCGAGCCCCGGTCACAGAGAGTGAAGGCTTCTTCTAAAGACCCATCTCCACTCAGGAAAATTTTCCACAGAAAGAAAATTTTGTAAAATGTGATTGGCCGACACAAATTTTCTGTCGAAAAAAAATTTTGAAGTTGCAAATTTTCAACTTTTAGCAATGATATTTTCGGGAAATTTTCTGTCTGTGGAAATGGGCCTTAACCACTGTACCGCCAACACCCTTCTAATATGACGACCAAGCAGATGCCACAAGGCCCATTTCCATGGACGGAAAATTTTCCGAAAATATCAAGTTGAAAATTTTCAACTTTTTTCCGACGGAAATTTCTTTCTGCGGAAAATTTTCCTGAGTGGAAATGGGCCTTCATGCTTCGCTTTCATTCTAAAGCCTTGTATATTTTTATTCCAGGATACTAAGACAGAAATGTAAATATGACAGCGAATTCTTGTCAATGGTAAACGAAATAAAAACTACAGCCAAAGATTCACTTGGACTTCTTATATTGTTGCCGGTAGGTTTTTCGTATTTGTTTTTAACATTTATTAGATTACTAAATGATTTATGAGTTGAAGTGTGCGTGAATAGGACTGGAAGACGAGATATCTAGTATATAAAGTTAGTTTAGTTTAGGTTTCCTCCTGTAGTAACACTGGATCAATAAGAGATGACCCTTACTGGACCTCTAGGAAGAACAGTTTAGAACTAATAGAGCTATCTAGTATAAATAAAGTTAGTTTAGTTTAGGTTTCCTCGTGTAGTAACACTGGATCAATAAGAGATGACTATTATACTGACCGCTAAGAAGAACAGTTACTGATAGAGTACTGATAGAGCTATCTAGTATAAATAAAGTTAGTTTAGTTTAGGTTTCCTCGTGTAGTAACACTGGATCAATAAGAGATGACTATTATACTGACCGCTATAAGAAGAACAGTTACTGATAGAGCTATCCAGTGCAAAAAGAGATGACAGAATGTGCGTTTATATTTCCAAAGGCACGTCGTGTTTCTCAATACAACAATTATCTGACGGATGTTCTCGAGTGTACTCCGGATGATCACGATGACCGGCGGAGATTGAAAGTTTTTATCGAAAAAATTCAACAGATTTTAACGGACCGGAAAGAGGATATTGATGAAGTTGAAAACGAGGTAGGAGTTTAGTCATCTCTAGAATTACTCCCCTTCATGGGCTGAAGGTGTTTTTAATTAAGGCTGTCAAATTAGTTCCTTTGTTTTTGAGAAGAGTATAGTATTTGATCAAAGTGTATATGATCAAAGATTACAGGCCCGGAGCTACGGGGGGGTGTGGGGGGGTGTGACACCCCCCCAGTAATTGTATTCAGTCGGCAGGACTGCTATTCAGTCGGTAGAACTGCTACTTGGGTTAAATATTTTTTGGCGCAAAGGGCAAGAACGTGTTGGTAATTTTAGGAAAATTTTGAGGAAAAATGTAAAAATTTTGGAAAAATGTTAAAAAATGTTGAAAATTTGCTATGTGCGAAAAATTTTTGAATGTTCCGGAAAAATTTTGTACGTCCGGAAAAATTTTTTTGGACCCCTAAAATGGTACACTGACCGAAATTTTTTTGGCGACGGGGGGGGGGGGGGAGGTCGCCGAAACAATTTTGTTCCGGAAAAATTTTTTGAACCAGTCGGTTGCATTGAATTACACCCCCCCTGAAGAATTTCCTGAGGACGGCCCTGTCAAAGAATCTTTGATATATCATATACAGCTTTGATTACTTCATCAAAGCCACTCGGTTGAGTATTCTGTTACGTCTGCAAGTGATGGTTCAATATTTTTGTGTGTCATTGGTCAAGTAAGCAAGCCGGTAACTTAATGAGATTTTCAGAGAGGGGGATTAGAAAAGAATTTGAGAAAATTAGGCGGGATTAGGTAAATGAAATCAACCGTACACTTCACTTTACAAGAGATGATTATTTTGTACAGTACGTGATACAAACGCGCTATATTCAGCTTTCTATGATACTTTAATACTAACAATTTATTCTAATGCTAAAGTGTCTGAAAATTAGGCCGGATTAGATAAATGAAATCAACCGTACATATGGCAAGAGATAATTATTTTATACTGTAGATGATACGCTATAGCCTGTTCTCCATGATACTTTAATACTAACCGAATTTATTCCAATACTAAGCTATTTGAGGTAAACACATTTTATTTACATTGGACAGCTCTACGACTTATAAACTCTTTCTAAGAGGGCCAGGAAACATGCTGTGTTTGTTAGAGTCAAACTGGAAGCATTCTTCTCACATGTGACTGAGGATAAGTATACAATAAGCGGGATAACTGCAACATGGAATCGGAACGGCTGCATGCAGGTTTCCCCACAATATATCATCGACTTTCCATGCAATCCAGTGCATTCCATCTGAATTACATAATCTTTATTTCATCCAATGAAAATGGCTGTATGTTTACTTTTGTATTCCCAACAATATAATTACGTGGTCCGGGTGACCTATAGTAACTGATTGAGACAACCCAATCTATTAACCCAGCACTCTTCAGCGGGACTAATCACCACTTACAATACATATTGTGTCTGTAGCTGAATGTCGTTTCTAATATTAATCTCTGCACTAGATTACAATACAGGCATAAACAAAAGCTGTCTACGGCTTGCAAACACAGATGCTTATGCTGTAACTGTGAATTCTTTGACGCTGAATTCATAAATGATAAAAATTTGGCTGTCAACTGTTTATAGCTATACGGTGGGATCAACAGCCGTAATCGTTGGGGTAATTGTTGTTAATATTATAGTGATCTCAGCAGTTAGGAATCAAAGGAGACATGAGTCTATGGTGTTGTATATACGAAGTGAAGATACCGAAGTCTGTTCAAGGCTCTGTGGCATACCTTTATAATTTCATGTTTTAAATGGCAAGACTTGTTCACTGTTAAGAGGAAGATATACGGTCTTCTGCATGACTTTATATTCTGTGTTTTTCTTTGAATGAAATTGATAAATTTGAATCCTTGATCTATCTAAGGCTGCTCTGTGGAATGGTTGTTTAGGTGGAAAAACACTGTTGAAGGAAGAAGATTCTATATATCTTTGTTCTTGGGACGGTGTAATCTTTCTATATAGCGGGCTTTCTATTCTCTTCGCTTACCAGAGATTGCATAGTACAACACTCCACGCTCAAATGGTTTTGCCCGTGTGATTTTGTTTTCATTAAGACGGGATAACTGCTGCAGAAAGAAGATATACGAGTTATTTATATATCTCTGAGCATCGTATGCGGTAGTATTGCTAATAATTATTCCTTATGCCGGAAAGATGAAAGTATAAAATACGGATATCAATGTTCATTCACCTGTCACTAGACGTACGTCTATAAGTCGATAAATCTATCTGTTGAAAACTTGTCAATTCAGTAGACACAATTTGGAAAAGGCAACATCCAATTATATAAATATATTATTGAAGGTGGATTGAACTTTACATTCATAAAATCTGTTGTTCTCGTCTACCAGAGAATTTATTCTTCATTGTGGATTTATGATAATCTTGTTCATCAAAGGCATTTTCTATATGTGTCTTAACAATTATATTTTCTGAAGAACTAAGTTGTTGTCAAGCCTAATTGTTTGTGGTTTCAAAGAGTCAGAATTAAATCTATTGGAATGACTTTTGTGGGCAGATCTTGGCATTCGGTCTGTTGAGTTTAAATCTAAATCACAGCAGTACATTTGTCTGCCACAATTACATTACATTGTGCATTGAATTTTGCACATCTTCACTTGAAGATTATATAACTGCACGGCTATTAGAACAGCATTTGCTGCACAGCTCAGCTCCTGCTCAGTTTCCCGTCAGTTTACCCTTTATAACCGAAGACAAGAGTCGAAGAGATAGACTATCCAATATAAACCAAACTCTGCTGTTGTTATAAAGTCAAGAATAAAAGTGAGGTTGAAACCGTCGGCAAGATTGTATTCCTGAAAATTCCTATATACAAGCTAGGAGGCAAATTCAATAAGACGACTTTTAAATCTCGTTTTGATATCTGAATTTGATATCTTGTGTATATGACCGTGCAGGCAAGTTGCATTATATGCATCCGATAATAGAACTTGTTTGATAATATTTAAATATATTAGTGAATACTGGAACAGTACTATATTGCCAACAGGACTTATGGCAGCTGTCACAAATAGTTAAAACGATTTGTTGAAGATACTATCACCACTGGAGAAGCTTTTTCTTTTCTTGGAACGAAAGCGTGATACAGTTTACTTTTAGCTCCTCGTTGACTACCGATTGTTACCAGTGATTGGTTGACATTTCGAAGTTTTTTTCATCTCGGAACGAAGACTACAGCTTATATCAATTTTAAAATCCTCGTTCATTATATTTTTGCTTTTAAATACCTGATAATAAGAAGCATATAGAAGGCAAGACATTTAAAGGTATTCTTCGCAACAAGTTGTCCATTTGAAGAACAACGTTGATTGTAGATTCGTCACGGAATGATTCCAGTTTATTTCATCAGTTAGACTGACAGCGAAGAGGCGAAATATTGCACGCTATTCAAAAGGAACTTGAAGAATTTGGCAGAGTATAAAATTGACAGGCTTATATATTGATTTCTTGCAACCAAATAATTGGTTTACCTAATCAGTTAAATAAACAGTGAAGGGAATTGCAAGAGTATATAGCTGAGATACCCTTTGGCTTCCGTGAAGGAACTCAGCGAATTCGTGTTGCAGTATACAAGGTTGAAAGGCACTATGTCTTCTATAAAACTAAGACAAGTTTCAAATAACGAGTCCAACTCGTTCACATTGTCACCACGACTGGGTCGACGCCTGGTGGACATATCAACGTTCATATCACCTCGCTCCAGTCCCGTGCTCAGACGAAGATCTAGTAGTCGACTCAAAGTTCTTCCACAAAAAGTTGGAAACTCGAACGATGATCTGGTAAATACTTTGTTTTGATGTTGAGCTTCTGCAAACTATATGACGCGAGGTTAGATAAACTAGGCTGGCTCGAACTCTCGGTGCCAGCGAGATACAACTGTACCTGAAAAATATAAGCAAACTTCAACGTTTCGAGGCCCTTTGTCGAGAAGTCAGTAGCCAAGTAGTCGGTAAGGTAGTAGTTGGTTACTACGAAGTTTTGCTTAGATTTTTGAGGTAGTTGTATTTCTTCCATTCGCCTTCTGTTATAGTCTAGCCAGATCTGGTAAGATTCTGTCTCCCCCTCCCCGTACAGCCGGCTCCTGTGTATATTTGGAGAGAGTTTATAAACAGGAAGATAGTTTTGTGTGCGTATGAAAGGTTCAACCCAAACGAATTTCCTGTCTTATTTCTCATCATCTTCCCTAACTCAATACCCCAACACACGACGCGTTTAATTATAGGAGAATTTAATAACTATTAGTCTCAAATCTTTCATTTGCTCACACAGTCTTAAAAAGCAATATACATAATCAATAAATTATCGTAAACAAGTATCGCGGCGCCGAATTTGGTTTTAATATCTTTAACAGGTGTTGTTTGATGAATTGATCTATTTCTCTATGATATAATGGTCTTTTAAGCAACCTCAAAAGGCTATCTGCTAAATGCCACGCGATTAACGACATATTAGAAAACTATTAGTGGATATTTAAAGCAGTAGGGGGTTATATCGCACACAGATGTATTGTACGTTAATGATGATGAACTCATGGACTATATATAATCATCCCTTCATTTAAACTACGCTAAGCTATCTTCATTTATACCGGATAATTCTAAACTGTTAATTCTAGTAAGCACAAGTTGTAGACTCGAGTCTACACTCGATTGTGACTTGACTTGTTAACTTCTTCATGACAATTTCAATTTACAACTATTGCAGCGAGTATTCACCCCCCCCCCTTTAAAACGAAAACCACCATTGAAATCCTCACAAAATAACTTTTTGAACGGGGGGGGGGGTCAAATGCCGTCAAAATATTGCACAAACCAAAACAATCATACATTTACTCACCCTTGGCCAAACATTCTGAATTTCATTTGGAGAAAAAACTTGAATATCTTCTAAACTCCTGCTGAGAGTCCATGTGAGTAAAATACTCACTCAAATACTCTACTTGTGTTCAAGCGCTTTCATTAATGACTTGTGACTTGATTTGGACTCGAACAAAATGACTTGTGTGTGACTTGAACTTGCAAAATAAAACTTGTTAACAAATTCTGCGAGTAGGGGCCATTCCTTATTTTGCAAGTTATCTCTAACCACAAAACGTTCGCTCTGCTCAATGGACCAATCCCACATTAACCAAAATTTTGAACTCAACAAGTCTAGACATCACAGCTTGAAAGAGCATCACAAAATTAGTAATATTCCAAAGTTTCGTTCCAAAATGTTGTAAAATGCGGATAATATAGCCCTGCGAAGTTTGCAATTTTCAGTCATTTTGTATTACAAACGAGAAATGGTTACCACTTCCGTGCGTAATACAAAATGACTGAAAAACGGCAAACTTCGCAAGGCTACATTATCCGCATTTTACAACATTTCGCAACGAAACTTTGGAATATTACTAATTTTGTGATGTTCTTTCAAGCTGTGATGGAATTTTGTCTAGACTTGTTGAGATCAAAATTTTGATTAATATGGGATTGGTCCATTCTGCTCACACTGTGAATATGTTTTCAGTTTAGACTTATTGAAATTCAAGATAAATTTCCTCATGATGACTTGGGACTGGATGAGGAGAAAGGATTGTCTAATCAGGTAACCTGATACTATAGCTGCGTAGCTGGTGCTTTTAAGAGGTTAGAGAGTTGATGCATAGACCTAGGGGAATATAGGTATTGCGTAGAGGTTCTAGAATTAATGAATTTAATGAATTTAAATGCCTGGTAATGAATTTAATTGAAACTTTATTAGGGTAGTACATGCATGATAGTTAAAATTCCCACTAACAAACCTGTGTCCCATGAATATCTTGTTGGATTCAGTCTGGTCCCAGTCTCTCTCTCCGCTGTTCTTATCTTGTTCCTGGGGTACCTGTGAAGCTCCTTGAGCGGTGACGTCACATTTAGGCTCACGTCAGAACGACAGGGTTTATGCTTAGTTGGACTCTTTTGACTTTGGCCTGATTTGCCTGACGCTGATTGGGTGGTAGTCAGCCAATCAGTGAAGCAAGAACCTGGCTAAAGCCACGTCTAGGCTTGTGCTGTAAACACGGAAGTAATATTTTCTTTATGCTTTTAGAGATTAAGAACTTTACTGAGTGCACGACGGAGGTCAGCACCCGCTACCGCTATTAAAGCTGCTTTTGGCAAGACAAGCAAGAAGTAAGTATTAATCCAGTTTCCTTGGCGCGAAACATAATTTAACATATGAACCCTGAGTGGCATAACATTAGTACAATCCACTCAGGCAGTCAGGATCCAGTGATAAGAATTGTCCATTGTGTTTTTTTTCTGTCTTGGAAATCTCTCTGTTCTCCAGCCAACCAGTCACTTACTGTTCTGACTTAAGTCCCGGTCATACGAGGATATCTCAAGCTCTAGATTAACAAAATAAAGTTTTTGATGAGTGTTCCAACTATGTTTTAACTTAAATAGAATCCATGATAGTGTTGGGAAAGCATTAAGAACAGCTAACCAAGGTCACGTGACTGCCTCATGCACTCTCATTCTCGTTTCATCCACGCGTTACCTTAGCATTCATGTAAAGAGCCTATTGCCTCCAGTTGTTCCTAATTCTCCCTATTTGCTTTCCTTCAACAGCAGTCTTCCTTCCATTGATATATCTCTAACAATCCACTCTGAGCCCACTCCTGACTCACCACAACCCAGCAGTATTTTTCTCCATGAAGGGATGGTGCAGCTAACAGCGGTAAGTTGTTAATTTGAAGCAAAACTACAATCCTGACCAAATGTCCTTGGGACACCACAACATTTCCGTATGTTTTTGTTGTCGTCTTCAAAGAGAGACCATTTAACGCAAAATATTTTTTAAAACACCCCCTCCCTCATTCAATGTTGAATTTGAGGGTATGCTCAACTGAAATTTTCTTAACTTTCAACATTGAGTAGGGGTGGGGGATCGGAGGTGGGCGTTGTCTTTAGAATTAAATGTTAGAAAAAGGTGAATGTCGCAAGACTTTTGTCCAGAATTGTAACTTCATTCAGTCCTCGGCCCTCGGGCGTGATCACATTTCATCCAGTCCTAGATCTTCCAGTTCTAGGATTTGTTGAAACGTTGTCCAGCCTTGTTAAATAATTCGAGAGGTTCAGATTTCACTTTCATCCCCTCTATCTCTCATTAACGGTAGCGCCGATGAAAATCTGAAGCTCTCTAATAACTAAGCCGATATAAAATATTTTTTATTTTAACAGGGTGGCATCTCTCACGATCGTTACATGTTTCTGTTCAACGACTTCCTGCTTGTAGCAAAATCCAAGTAAGTTGAAATTCTTGAAAATATACCTCCAAGTACGAAAAACACATTGGATCATTCCAGCTATCGTCTAATTTTTGATCCAGACAAGAAAGACGAAATCTATCATTATAGCTCAAAAGAGCATCCTAAAATTAGTAAAATTGTAAAGTTTAGTTGCGAAATGTTGTAAACTACGAAAAATATAGCTCTACGAAATAGCAAATTTTGAGTATTTTAGTATTACGCGCGGAAAAATGCCTCAAAAGTTAGATCTCCATTTTCTTCCTTAGATCTCCATTTTCCTTCCTTAGATCTCCATTTTCTTCCTTAGATCTCCATTTTCTTCCTTAGATCTCCATTCTACACTGTAATTTTCTTCCTTAGATCTCCATTCTACACTGTAATTTTCTTCCTTAGATCTCCATTTTACACTGTAATTTTCTTCCTTAGATCTCCATTTTACACTGTAATTTTCTTCCTTAGATCTCCATTTTCTTCCTTAATTTTCTTCTTTACACTGTAATTTTCTTCCTTAGATCTCCATTCTACACTGTAATTTTCTTCCTTAGATCTCCATTTTACACTGTAATTTTCTTCCTTAGATCTCCATTCTACACTGTAATTTTCTTCCTTAGATCTCCATTCTACACTGTAATTTTCTTCCTTAGATCTCCATTCTACACTGTAATTTTCTTCCTTAGATCTCCATTCTACACTGTAATTTTCTTCCTTAGATCTCCATTCTACACTGTAATTTTCTTCCTTAGATCGTCCGTATTACAAGTTAATTTTCTTCCTTAGATCGTCGTCGTATTACAAGTTAAAAGATCGAGTCAAAGTGAGTGAAATGTGGATTGCTGGCTGTATTGAATGTATGGGGGAAAATGTGAAATCTCCAGAAAAATCTTTTGTACTTGGCTGGCCAACGGAGAACTTCGTCACTTCTTTCAGGTACACTTTCCTACACCAAACAAAACTAAACTAAACTATAACTTTATTTTATACTGGATAGCTTTAACACTTCTAAACTGTTCTCCTTAGAGGGATAGCGAGGGACTGAGGAACATAGAGGTTCAACAAGGGACGCACCATTATCTTTTAAAGGGATGACCATTTCTTCAACACAAACATTTTTTTGTATATTGATGTCTTTGCAAAATAATTTTCTGCTGCTTCTTCCTGCTTGCAATATTTTCGTCCAACAGTTTATTAAGTCCGCAAACTATTTTTTTCTGTCATATATAATGCGCAAACAATTTATTTCGACTCTTTCTTGCAAGCAGTTTGTTAAGAATTTCTCACTCCCCCCCCCCTCCAAAAAATTAATGATCCGTTCCTAATGGCCACCCTTTAATCTTAATCTAATAATCTTAATGTGTTATCAAAGAAGAACCCCGGTATGTATTTATCCTAGAGCCCGCCCTATTTATTCTGGCTAGATCCAAACTGCTCTCCCAGGGGGTCTAGCAAGAGATTTCGCGCAATGATCCAGTGTTACTACAGAAAAGGACCAGAAAACCCGAACGTGCACTATTTTGTCCAGTCATACTAAGAGTTCTCACGTGCACGAGACTGAATATTGAATCCATGTCTGGAGGTTAAGATATCCCACCGACGCGCTTCACAATAATCTAAAGCAGCTTAAGAACGCTATAGGTGTGTATTGGGGCGTGATTTAAGGTGGTTGTTTGTATAAATATCTTTATCTCACAAGGAATGTCTAAATTTTAAATATTGCAGTTCAATGGAAGAGAGGAACAAATGGCATGCTGCTTTATCAAGGTATTTTTGAAGTAAAATCTTGCTGCATGAACTTTGTCTTTGTAAATAAACCAAACGATAAAACTGTGTGTAAGTTTTAGTTCTTAAAACCTATTTTATTATCCTATACTTTAACGTCATAACATGATTAGAAGAGTCACAGAACGAGTATAGTCACGGAATGGTCTGGGCCATTGTAGGTAGTGGCAATAATGAGAAAGATTTGGCAATATAGGGATACAACTACCTGAAAAATACAAGGAGAACTTCGATGTTTCGTACGAAGGCTCTTTGTCTGGAAGTTAGGAAATTGCATTCTCTATACCTAGACTAGCACCCAACATTCACTATTATAAAGTAAATAAATTCGTATACTCCCCCAGACAAATCACATTCACAATCCACTATTTCAACTCTCCAGTCATTTATACTGAGGATCCAAGTTTGGGTGATAGACTGGAATGTTTATAAAACTTTAGCTCGTGAATGAAATTTGTTTGGGGATTACATTCGCGTTCACTGAGACCATGGTTCGCCGTGTAGCGAAGAATGTAGAATATTTCTCATGTGATTTATTTATTTAGCAATATTGCGTCGCAAAAAGAGTTGGAGGAACCAAAAATGACTCCCATCAAAATCCAGTACAAAGACAACGAATCTCTTCAGAGTTCGGTAAGTGTCTGAATGAAAATATATTTAAATCTACGTTTGCATATTTTTAGTCATAACGTTTGTAATTCCGTCAGACGTATTTTTTTCCAGATATCATTCATGTAGATCTAAAATCAGGCCCGGAAATCGCAATATGTAAATCGATTTTGTAGATTTTGATATCATAATTGAGCGACTAAAATATTTAACATATATTTCCGAGTGCTAACGTTGGCGTTTTGAACTTGTCGTTTTGAAGGAAGGTTAGAATAGTTTGTGGTTTATTTTTAACACCAATTTATAGGATAATTATATGTTTAAGAGTGAAGTTGTTATCTTTCAAACTGGCCACTGTTTCCGTGTTCTAGTTTCCTGCTGTTTTAAGCATTTCGCTTTGTTTGTTTCAAAATGGCTATAGAAATTGTAGCCGCCAAAGTGTCTTAATTAATAACAGCTTAAAGTTCATGAGTCATCGCAACCAGGTATTATCGGGCGCATTTAGATTCCCTGTTCTGATTAGAGTAAAATAAATGCTATTCCGGCTAGAAAAATTTCACGCACAGCCCAACGATCCGACAATCCAGTCTAGTGTCTCGATCAGGACTTGAATGATCTAAGATCTAATACAACTGTCTAGTGTCTCGATCAGGAATGAATGATCTAAGATCTAATAGCAACTGTCTAGTGTCTCGATCAGGAATGATCTAATAGCAACTGTCTAACACTAACCCTAATTACCCTTTATAACCGTAAATTTCCCTCTCCTCTTAAAAATAAATTTTACGAGCACTGTACGGGAAATGTACCGGGAAGTCAGACCCCACCCTTATGACGTCATCTTGTAATTTTTGGTATTTGCTAGATAACATAGTTTACATTCCCGTATATTCTACATTGTGATGATCTATATTGACGTCGTAGCGTGTTCCAGGTTGTGTCCTTGCGTCTACCTAAGGTAATTTGCTAGATAGTATACTTCAAAATAAGGTTTCCGTTTTATATCAATTACTTTTAAATAAGTTAGGGTTAGGGTTAGGTTAGGGATTAGGGTTGGGGTTAGGGTTAGTGTTAGGGTTTAGTTTTGCGTTAGGATAGCTTTTTTCTACGTTATAAAAACGGAAACCTTATTTTGAAGTATACTATCTAGCAATTACCGTCTACCTAATAATAAGTTCTCGTATAATTGTTCGTTCAAAAAAGAAGAGACGACTACATACTACACGATATACAACTACTTGAAAAAACAAAAAGAATTTCGACGTTTTAAGCGCCCTTCTTCCAGACGAAGATCCTTCGTTCGAAACATCGAAATTCTGTTTGTATTTTTAGGATATCTTATATTTTGATAGTTGATTTGGAATTAAAATATATATAAAATCACACCAAAAGGTGAATTACTTTATATTTACAAGTTAAGAACTATGGAAATTGATTATTTAGTTTGGTCATAACCGCGAAAAACTGTTTTTAAACGGTTTCGTGTTACATTTGTATAAAATAAGATCGTCTCTATTTCGAAGACATAGTCCATTCTCATCCAGCCATGAGTTAGGGACAAGATGAGACAATTAAGTATTATTTCCTTAAAAAAATTTATACAAAGTTGTTGGCGATTGGCTATGAGACTGTTAATATCTTGTCAATATTTTTCCCGTAAAAAACTTCCTTTTAAATCTATCAATGGCCTGAAGACATTAAGGATTCGTCTCTATTAAGACATCACATGGACTATATAATCCCATGCTCAAATATCAATGATCACGGCTAACCACTAGTAATGATTTTTTCTGTGTTGATGTTGTGTACTCAGGTGAATATGATATTTGTGATGATATTCGTCAATGATATTCGTATATTATTAGTAATGATATTCGTCAATTTAGAATTTGGTTAAGTTGCCAAAAGGAAACGTGCTTTGGATGAAGACTGAAATATAATATGCCCTTATATAGCAATGAAAACGTGAAAATGTAGAAGTATATCACGTACGGTATTCAGTGAAAAATATTTCAAATCACAAACGGTGTTTGCTAGGGAGGTATAGCGAAGATATCAAACTGTGATCTTTGAAGGCGATATAGAACCGCCTCAAAGATCAAAAGAATTTCGACCTTTCTATAGCCTTCGTCTGGTAGGGGCCTTCGTCTGGTAGGGGCCTTCGTCTGGTATAGTTACTTCGACCTTCGTTACTATAATTTTCAGGCGAAGCCAACCTTTGCTAGAAACGTCGAAATAATTTTTGTATTCTTTCATATAGTTCATTATCATCTACAAAACTTCAAATTACACTTTCTTTTACACTGAAAATGACGTGCAATGTGTTGTGTCAGTTGAAAAGTAAATTAATAATGGACTCGTCTTATCATAGGGACGCCTTTTTATTACGCACAATTTCTATCATCCCAACATACATAATTCTCGTATATGTTCTTTTAAAAAATCACTATAAAACAGACACCTCTCTATAATGACTACTGTATCACTTCAGTATCCCTATGAAGGTCAGGGCTTACGGATCAAGCAACTTTCTATCATCTATTGTTTTACACAAAAAACAAAACAATTATATTTATCAACGTCAGAAAGCAGTTTTTGCCCATACTGGCCATTGATCTTTTTGTTTTGTGATGATGTGAACATCTTTACCTGCGTCGTCTCCGACATGATGTAAACGTTTATATATAGTGAAACGACAATATAAACATGTGAATGCGTTCTTTGTAATCTTATATTTTGTACCGTGGCCAGGCATATTTTTCAAGCTTGCTCGATGTGGATATACACTCAGAGTAACATCACAAGCATTATATTCACCTGAGTACATACACCAACACGGAAAAAATCTTATAGCTATTTTGTAGTTTATATTGTGGGGATACGTTTTGTATCTTTTATTGTATGTAATTTCATATGTGCCTGTATTGGTATTTGAGGAAGGAATAAAGATTATTATTATTATGATATAGTTCTCTATTGCCAAAACATAACGGCAATGATATAGGACTATTAATGACATACAAAGGAAACCCGATACTCTATTTTGTCTATAAAAAGTGAAATATTAATCAAGACACGATTTTATGAGCTCAAATGCGTATAATCTCGAGTATTTTCGGATGTAAGCGATTTGGCACGTCATAAGTGGACTGAGGAATGTGTCGTCATTCGCTCGCTAATTAAGCCATTCTATTCATTGGCGGAGATCAGTTGAGCGCTACCTTCAATCTAGACGTTTATAAGAGAGTATTTGGAAGATTTTAGTCCAGTTAAATAGTACAGGAAGAGTTTGGCGGAAAGGAATTAACGAAATCCTAAAAGCTTGAGGAGGATCGTATATTTGTAAGTGTCTATGTTTGTATATGTAGCATAAATGTATACTATAATATATGAGCGTGTTGTGGTTCACGAAATGTTAGAGAGTGCTTGATACCATAAAGATATAGAGGAAATATAGGTTGAGTTAACTCAAAATCTTCAATACCATCAGTTGATCCCAGCTGCTATAGTCGTATAGTAATATTACTCATGTATAGTCATTGTATCATATAATAAAGCGTGTTTAGTAATGGTTCAAGTCTTCAAGAAATGTCATCAAAGAGTGCGCAACGCCGAGCGAATATAGTATATATAGCTTGGCTCACCTTAAAATCTTCATTACCAATGATGTCACCCTATTTATCATCAAGTTACTGACTAAAATCCCGATTTGTGGGCTGCTTCATTGAAGAATAATGAAGATTCTGAGGTATCTTCACTGTATTGCAATTATATGCGTATGCTTGAGTTGATCCAGAACTATCATTAGGGTAATAGGATAACATATTCAGAGTAAAAACCCGACACTGTACATAAGAATTATACTATATCAAAATATGTTGTCATATTCCCCTGATGAAGGATCTGAAATAGAGCTGAAGACATCGCAAGAATAATGTCTAAGTCAATAAGTTGCGAGGATATCTCTTGCGCTGAGGAAAACGGATTTGTCATCTCAGTTGATCTGATCAGCTTACTGCCCGGGTATATAGCAAAACATGGTCAAATCTGGCCAAATTTATGCTGATAATACAATATTTAAGTTGATAAGTTGCGAGAATATCTTGTGCGCGCTTCAACATGCTGCATGGATTTGACTGATTTGATCTGACAGCTTCATGGCTAGAACTATAATCCATATGGTTGAGCGTCTCACTCAGGGCTGCCTGGTTTGCGGAACATGTAAGTTCAAACTTTGGCCAGAACCAACTTCATGTTAATGGTACAATGTTTAAGTTGATAAGTTGCGAGAATATTTTGTGCGCTTCAATACTCAATAGGCATTTTAATTTGTGCTTTCTCTAGTTGGCTTAATATAAGTGCGCCACATATGAACCTTGTAGAACGTTCTCGGTTAAAGGGATGTAATATAGCCGGAAATGTCGAGCAAAACGTTTTTCGCCCGACATTTATCTCGATTACGATCTTTCAGCATTCAGTTCGATCGCGTGATAATCGGCCAAAATCTTGAATATTTGCCCCTGTAGAATCTCGGCCTGGTTCGCTGAATATAGATGCTGTGTTTTGACTTAATATAATGTTTTTTATAGAAGATAAATAAATAAAAGCTGTTTGTTTGTTTTTGTCATATTTGAATTTTGCCGACATTGAACCTTTTTCGCAACTGGTAAGGATTGAAATCCTAAGTATCTGCCGAACTATTTTGTGAAGTGAAGCTTACCAGAACATGATAAGAGTCGACAAAGCAACTATATAATTATATCGAATAATGCTGACAATGCCTGTTATGTATAGAAAATGAATAATTTCAAAAATTTCAAAGATCTTTCGATTAAAGACGGTTCTCGTTTTTAAATACACTGTATTTGGAACTGTTTCTGAGACGTAATCCCCTCACTACAATATACTGACAATGCAATTCATTAAAAAAAACACCAAATCGGCTTTTCGCACCCTTTCTTGTCCAATAGAAGTCTTCCTACTCGAGGTTATTTTGTTGTTGAAACAACCTTATAAAGTAATGCGCAATACGAGTGCTTCAAAGGCTTTATAATCTAAGTGGTATTACTAAGGATTATAAGCAACACATCGTAACAAACAACTCAGTCACGATATGTCATTAGACTATCAAGTAACAGAACAATTCAGAGGTTTTGATCAATTAAAACGCATGCGCCCATATCGATCCAGTATAGGTAGTATTCTACAATAAGCTCTGCTGTCGTGGTTTGTGTTTGAACTACCTCGAAAATGTATCTCAAAGTGGTGGTCCAGTGTAGCTAGTATTGTACTATATATAAGTAAAAAAAAAAGTTGACATGGTTTGTGTCTGAATTACCTAAAAAAAGGTTTCTCTAACGTGGGTGTTACAAAGCAGGCTACTCATGTGATTTGTGGCTGAACTGCCTGAGATTCCGCTAGTTTAGTCATAACCCATGCATATGCAGCATCTTATTGAAGAATACTTTGTCTTAATAACTCATGCATGCCCTACGATTGAGATAGATGAATTTGTTCCATCTTTGGAACTGAGATATTCTGAAAATGCAGACCACAGAATTCACCAAATGCGTCATATTTCCCACCGTTCATTTAAGTTTACAAAGACCCAGGGCACTTTGAACTAAAGCCAGATATCATAAATTTTACTCAGGAAAACTTGTCCGGTGACTTTCCGGACCTCGAAGTAACAGGAAATTGACTCACGGGTATTTAAAAATGAATTGATGTTTTGCAAACTATGTGAATTAATAATGCGCAAGGCATGAAAGAGGGTAGAACAGCTGTCAGGGTTTCATTCAAAAAGTGAATGAAACCCTAGTGCCTTGTTATGGAGGTTTTAGTGAGATCAGTATTGTTAGTTATGCAGTTGGTTAGCAGTGGCAGACACATCGCGAAATATTGGGGGGATGACCACATTCTGTTGCTGGAAATCTCAGTTCTTTCAACTTTGTAGCCTTCAATTCATGAAATATATAGCTTAGTTTATAGCCTAGCAATCATTTCATGGCCGAAAAAATATTGTTACAGCTTTGTTACACAGTTATTCAGCTATCATACAAAGGCTTTCAGAAATTGTTGGGGGGAGGGAAGTGTGCCACAGACTGCCACTGTTGGTTAGTTATGGGGCTCTTGGACTATATCCGCCTGAATGAAAAGCTTATATATTGCCATATTGAAAGAGTTAGTTCGTGAACAATATTTCATGTCGGTCATTATAATTGAAACGTGACTGGGTGTATTTACAAGATTTAAGACTTCGTGGGAAAATAGAAATGATTTGTACATACGGAAGCGGCGGCTCAGTGGCATTTGACGAGTGAGACAGTCCTGCATCGCAAGATAACTAACTGATTAACTAATCAAGGAACCAGCTCATTACTAATCAACTAACTATATTGACTATATCAATAGTTGTGTGGTCTTATTTATCGATGATGACATTATTTGTTGTTATATCCACTTCGTTTTATGACCATACACTTTGATATAGGCATAAGTAGTTGGGAGCAACAATGTACTTATAAGGAGCGATCGTTAGATACTTGGATTGAATCTCTTGAGAAAAGTAAACCGACAAATTATAATATTTGCTGTTCCAATATAAGTTGGAACTACTTGGAAAACACATGCTCTCTTTTTGAAACTTCACTCCAAAAGTGCTTTTGATCTTCTTGAAGAAGTCCAAACACAAACAGCGGCAGGTTATTATAAAATACTACCTACACCGTACTAATATTTGTCAACTAATCACAACAACACTGTATCAATATCAAGTGGATAACATCATTTCCTCATTATTCATCTTTCCGTTTCAGACAAAAAGTGTTTCAGTCGGGCAGTTAGACGACGCAAACAAGGTCGTGCACATGGCGTTGGATCTTTTTAACATTTTGGTAAGTCTTTCGTGTTGTGTTGTGTTGTGTTGCGTTGTCACTGTTGTGTTGTGTTGTGTTGTGTTGTGTTGGAAATATAGATATACTGCATGGATAGCTAAATCAGTTCTGTATAAACTGTCCGGAGGTCTCGTAAAGACCGTTCATGCACCGTTCCTAATGGACCATTTGCAATATAGACTAAATTTTGATCTAGACAAAAATTTCATCACAGCTTGAAAGAGCATCACAAAATTAGTAATATTCCAAAGTTTCGTTGCGAAATGTTGTAAAATGCGGATAATATAGCCATGCGAAGTTTGCCGTTTTTCAGTCATTTTGTATTACGCACGGGAAATTGACAGCCCAATCGGGTGTTGTTTGTAATACAAAATGACTGAAAATTGCAAACTTCGCAAGGCTATATTATCGGCATTTTACAACATTTCGCAACGAAACTTCGGATTATTACTAATTTTGTGATGCTCGTTCAAGCTGTGATGAAATTTTTGTCTAGATCAAAATTTAGTCTATAAAATTGCAAATGGTCCATTGGTTCAATCAAATGATACTACAGGAAGGAGGCAATCTCAACTGAACTCTATTCGTACTATCCACACCAGATGGCTTTACCAATTCTAAACTGTTCTCCCTAAAGATTTAGTAAGGGATCTTATCCTTATAACTCGATGAAATAACTCGATCAATACTAACTCGATGAAATAACTCGATGAAAAAAACTACTGAGTACCCAAAGAAAACCTATGGTGTTTGGTAGGGATGTTTGTATGAGCGTTATGTGGTGCATCCCACCCAGGTTACTGAGGCGAGAAGTGCATTCATTGTTGCATGCATTTCTCAAGGGAAATATCTTGATCTCATGACCCTGGCCGCGGTTCATTGGTTCTATATCCTTGTGTGGCTATTTTGAACTGGGGGTGCCAAAAGTTTCCGGCCTGCATTCACTTCTCTTTATAAGTGTGCAATACCTAGACTAAGTGTTTCGTTTGTTTGTAGAATAAAGAAAATTCAAATGACCATCAGTTGTGGGTTATGTACAAGGATGGCGCATATCCTCTTATTGGTGAGTTTAGTCCTTAGCATGGGAACTGTATCTGAGGAGATCAGTCATTAATCCCATTTGACTTGCTCTGATGTCCGGTGTTAGACAGACTCATATATAGTTTATATATATATAGAGAAGGAATTAGCTGCTAGAGCCATCCAACTCGATTCTCATCTTGGTCACCGTGAGAACTAATTTTGGGGGGATTAGTAATTAATCTCATTTGTCTAGCTTGAAGATTCAATGAACTAGATCTCCTAAAATGCTTGCGATCACGCAATCCTGAAGTAGTTTATATCAGGTTTATCAGGAATAATACATTTAGGACTGTGGAAATTAGGAAACAATGTTGTGGAATCATCTGAAAATTTTGATGTTTCCTCATATGTTCCCAAAATTGTTGTTGTATAGATAGATAGATAGATAGAAACTTTATTTATACACGCTGACCCCGTCAACCGAAGCTGATTTCCACGGGGGGCGTGTGCAAAAATAGAAAAATGTTACATGGAGATATTAAAATACTTAAGTTTAAAAAGGTAGAATATTAAATTATTTACATGATAAGAAGGTTATTAGAATATTTACAGTTACATCAATTTACTCTATGTCAATTTTGTGAGCAGCAATTTTATTTCTAAAGGATGAAAGAGTTTTGCTTTCCCTAATTTCCTTTGGAATAGAATTCCAAAGGTGTGCTCCGTCATACATAAAACTATTTTTCATGTTGTTAGTACGCGGTTTTGGTAAACTAAGACCACTTGAAATGTCACGAAGGTTGTAGTTTGTTTTCTCACATTTGTATGAAAAAAGATTGGTGAGTGATTTAGGACCCATTTTATTTAATACTTTGTACATCATTTTTGCCTTAGCTTTCTTCCTTTCAGTTTTGAGTGGCTCCCAGCCCAATGCACGTAGAGCAATGGAATGATTTACGTCATTACTCATGTTCAAGATAATTCTAGCAGCTCTATTTTGAAGTTTTTGGAGTCGTTTTGATTGTGATTCACCAAACACATCCCATACTTCACAACAGTAATCAAAGTATGGGCGGACAATAGCATTATATATCAAATTGAGTGTATTTTTGTCAACGAAAGGTTTGACTCGGCGAATAGCAGAGATTCCTGCAGTTATTTTTTTGCATATATTTTCGGAATTACTTTTCCAAGACAAATGCTGGTCAACTATTACTCCAAGAGTTTTGCATTCGCTAACTTGTTTAATTTGCTTATTTTCAATGAAAACATTTAAATGTGAATCAGAATTTTTTTTAATCATTGCGTTTGAACCAATTAACATAAATTCTGTCTTAGCTACATTTAGACTAAGTTTATTGGCAATTAACCATTTTCTGAGGTTTTCCAAATCAGAATTCACTGCAGTTTCAAGGTCAATTATAGAATCTCCCGATGCTGTCAGATTTGTGTCGTCAGCAAACAATCGAGGTTTTGTTTTGTTTAGACACTGAGGTAAATCATTTATATATAGCAGAAAGAATAGTGGTCCTAAGATAGAGCCTTGTGGTACACCGCATTTAATCAATCGCTCTGTAGAAAAGGAATTCTTAATTTGGCACTTCTGGTTTCTGTTTGTGAGATAAGATTTGAGCAAAGTTAGAGCTTCTCCTTTTATTCCATAAAGTTCTAACTTCCTCAATAGAATTTGATGATCAACAGTATCAAATGCTTTTTTTAGATCAATTAGGACTACTAGGTTAAACATTTTTCTGTCTAGATTCATATACCAATCATTGGTACAGTCCAGTAATGCAGTTGCTGTAGAATGAGATTTTCGAAAACCGAATTGAGAATCGCTAAGGAGTTCAAATTTTGTTAAATAGTTATACAGTTGATCATACATAATTCGCTCCATAATTTTGCTAATCGCAGGTAAAACTGATATTGGTCTATAGTTTCCTGGAATATTCCGTTGGCCGTTTTTATACAAAGGTATTACTCTTGCCATTTTCCATTCATTAGGAAAGGAGGATAGAGTTATAGCCTGATTGAAAATAAACGTCAATGAGTCTGAAATAGCTGGTGCAGCTATCTTAATAATTTTACAAGAAATTTTATCAATGCCAGTGGCTTTATTGCTGGAAAGCCCATGCAAGAGACGACAGACATGACTGACAGTAACAGGCTGGAATGCTGCAAATTCTGATTCAGCAGTTTTAGTATATGTTTCAAAATTATAATTTGAAGTATCAATTTTGCTAGCTAAATCAGGCCCAATATTTGAAAAGTAATCATTAAAGCCCTCTGCAATATCTTTGGGAGTTGTAAAAATTTTTCCCCCTAGATTAATCTCATTCACCACTGTTGGTTTGTTTTGCCTACCTAATAAGTTGTTTATACTTTTCCAAGCTTTTTTAGGATTGAATTTTTGACCAGCTATTTTTGAGGAATAGTAATCCTTTTTGGCATTCCTTAGTTCTATGTTTACTTTGTTTCTAGACGTTTTATAATCAAACCAATCATTTTCTAGGTTTGTTGAAATGGCTTTTCTTTTTAATTTGTCCCTTGTATTAATAAGTTTCTTTATATCACTTGTAATCCATGGGACTTTTTTAGACCTGATTTTTTTGCATTGAAGTGGTGCATGCTTATCTAGGACGTCTACGAATATTTTTTTCCAAATCTCCCACATATCATTTGGGTCTTCAGCAAAAAAATACACTTGTTCCCAGTGCTGTTTGAGCAGTTCCGCAACAAATTTTTCTTCATTAAAATTTTTCATGTTTCTCATCTCAACTATATTCTCTTGTTTCTTTATAACAGAAATTTTCCTGATAGCAAATATCAAACTATGATCACTTATACCTGTGTGAATGACACCAGAATCAGAAATTTTTTCTGGTGTATTAGTAACCATATGATCAATTAGACTAGTAGTTGTCATAGTTACTCGAGTAGCTTCATCTATCAGTTGTGATAACTGATATAATTCATACAAAGACTTTATTTTCTTTGTTGGTATGTTATAATCTTTATCTGGTCTTAGCAAATCACAGTTTAGATCACCCAGAATATACATTTCCTTATTTTCATTATCTATAGCTTTGATCAGTTTTTCAAAATGATCAAAGAATTCTGATAATGCACTGGGTGGTCGGTAAACTGTCGTAACAACAAAAGGTTTGCTATGTGGCTTAATAATTTCAACACAAACAGCTTCCAGTTCAGAAGGAACTAGATCATCTCTTATTTTGTAATTGATGGAGCTACGCAAGTAAATACAAACTCCACCACCATTCCTTGATCTATCTTTTCTGACAATATCATAACCATCAAGGTTAATCATATTATCTGTTATATTCGCATCAAGTCGTGTCTCATTAAATGCAATCAGATCAATGAACTTTTTTGACATTGAAAAATTAATTTCATCTATTTTTTTAGGTAAACTAACAATATTCAGAAAAGCCATTTTAAAACCTCTTTCATTCGGGATTGAGCTAAGGGTTCTCATAAAATCGCTGCTCACATTGCCCCTTGTTATATCTAATCTGCTTTCTGTTTCATCACTTGCTTTACATGGGCCAGATACATTGTCCAGTCTTTCTGGTGCCCATGACTTTGGCGAAAACAATGGCTGTCATTACGACTTGAAGCCATGTTGGTGTTTCCAATTCTATCAGACTTCAAGTAGGTGCAGAAAGCACCTCCTAGGGCTTTATCACCTTCACGATTTAAATGTAGTTTTGATCTGTTTAATAAAGGTTTGTCTATGCAACTATTATCAATAAAAGTGATCTTATGTTTAGAACATAAACCATGTACTAAATTATTATATTGCTGTAATACCCGATTAACCAATGAAATCCTCTTATTCAGGTCACGAGTTTCCATTCGCCATTCAAATGAACCAGCATCGTGAGATGTCAATACTTGATGACAGCGACTTCATCGCGCCAGTCCCAGACCCCCCAACCTCTCCACCCGCAATTGAAATCACACCTGAAAATCAACTACAGTTTATGTTGAAAAAGGGACGAAAAATGCACAATAAAGGTTAGACCTGAATCATTTTATGGGTATTGGCCAAATGTACATTAGAGACGGATCATCCCCTCTGGAGGAATTTGGATAAATTTATCGGTTGTCGGTGAAAAACATGGAAAAGTGAATACAAAACGAGGAAATAAATTTTGCCATGTGAAAGCTTGTTACAAAAGACTTTGATTCATCTGTAACTGACTTTAAGCTGGATGTGAAATAGAAGCAAGTCTAGAATTTATTTTAATATTATATTTTTATGTTTTGTATAGTTGGTTTTAATCGTCTGGTGAAAATGAGAAAAAATAAGAAACTGAGTAAAAAGATGTCGGGGGGCAAATTACCGCCTTATGATATGATCATGGCGCCTGGCAAGTAAGTTGAAAAATCCTTAGTTCATGTCCAACAATGGACCTATTACCTAGTAAACAAAATTTTAATCTAGACAAAAATTTCATCACAGTTTGAAAGAGCATCACAAAATTAGTAATATTGCGAAATTTCGTTGCGAAATGTTGTAAAATGCGGATAATATAGCCCTGCGAAGTTTGCCGTTTTTCAAGTTATTTTGTATTACGCGCGGGAAATTGATACCTTTTTTGAGAAAGCGGTACCAATTTCCCGTGCGTAATACCAAATGAGTGAAAAACGGCAAACTTCGCAGGGCTATATTATCCGCATTTTACAACATTTCGCAACGAAACTTCGGAATATTACTAATTTTGTGTGGTGAAATTTTTGTCTAGACTTGTTGAGATCAAAATTTTGGTTATTAGGTAATAGGTCCATTTGTAGGTTTTAGGAAACGTCACAGTAACAGAAACCACTCTTTGACTTCGTGTTGTTAATCTTTCCTTATCTCATTTAGAGTGTTTGGGCAACCGTTGGAACAATTGGCAAGCGAAGAAGAGGTAGTTCCCAAGCCTATCAACGATCTGTTAGTGCGTCTGTTTCGCTACGGGCCGTCAACATCTGGCGTTTTCCGAAAGACACCGAATCAACGAGAAGTCAAGGAACTGAGAGAAGAAATCGATGAAGGTTTGTGATTTGTTTGTTTGTTTGTTTGTTTGTTTGTTTGTTTGTTTGTTTGTTTGTTTGTTTGTTTGTTTGTTTGTTTGTTTGTTTGTTTGTTTGTTTGTTTGTTTGTTTGTTTGTTTGTTTGTTTGTTTGTTTGTTTGTTTGTTTGTTTGTTTGTTTGTTTGTTTGGTTTGTTTGTTTGTTTGTTTGTTTGTTTGTTTGTTTGTTTGTTTGTTTGTTTGTTTGTTTGTTTGTTTGTTTGTTTGTTTGTTTGTTTGTTTGTTTGTTTGTTTGTTTGTTTGTTTGTTTGTTTGTTTGTTTGTTTGTTTGTTTGTTTGTTTGTTTTGTTTGTTTTGTTTGTTTGTTTGTTTGTTTGTTTGTTTGTTTGGTTTTGTTTGTTTGTTTGTTTGTTTGTTTGTTTGTTTGTTTGTTTGTTTGTTTGTTTGTTTGTTTGTTTGTTTGTTTGTTTTGTTTGTTTTGTTTGTTGGTTTGTTTGTTTGTTTGTTTGGTTTGTTTGTTTGTTTGTTTGTTTGTTTGTTTGTTTGTTTGTTTGTTTTGTTTGTTTGTTTGTTTGTTTGTTTGTTTGTTTGTTTTGTTTGTTTGTTTGTTTGTTTGTTTGTTTGTTTGTTTGTTTGTTATGTTTCGAAATGTTATTTCTCCGACAAAGTCAATGACGAACGTTTTCTTGCTAATTTTCAGGGAAAGAAGTGTCTTTTGAAGATACCTCCGTTCATGTGGCTGCAGGTTTAGTAAAGGTCAGTAGAGTTGACTTGATATATTGAGCAATTGATAAGATTAAGTAAATCTTCGTTGGAATAATAAGAGTAATTACATTGCACCCTCATATTTGAGACGTCCTTTGATAATCGCAAATAATATGCTTCGTATTTTAAACTCTCCTTTGTATTTTGTAGGAATTTCTTCGCAACCTTCCTGATGCTCTATGCTGTTCCGAATATTACGAGGACTTTTTAGCCACTAATGACATCAAGGATAAGTCTGAACGAGTCCAAGAAATTTCAAGGTAAAACGAACTTCATTAAACTTATCTTATTTCCAGTTCATATATCAGTTCTGTCCAGCGTTAATACAGAAAGGGAAACCGAAGTACGCAGAGAAAATCAGCGTTGTTTGGTAGAGCCAAACCAGAAGTATTCTTCAGGGGTCGGTTGTTCAAAGCTGGGTTAGTTTAACCCTGGGTTAACCTAAAATTCAAAGCAAACTTCCTGACAGCTTGTCTATAAATTTGGAAATATTTCTTCAGAGATCTTGTCTGGATCGATATGAGTTACTTCTCTGAAGTTTTGAAATAAACAGACGTGTAGAAATACAGAAACTAAAACAGCAGGTTAAATTTTAACCCAGGGTTAGCGCTAGTCCACCTTTGAACAATCAGTCCCGCGTGGTGTAGGAGCCTTTGTGATTGCATGTGGTTCCATTCTCTCTACGGAATCTTGACAGTAACGTGAAAAGAGTCAGTCAACGCTCTACCGAAAGTCGAGGCTTTTCTCCAGGTACTTCGTTGTCCTCCTTGGAAAGCCTTCGAGTTACGGGAATCAAATCCCCGTCTCCGAGGTGAAAGAGACATCACTAACCATTGAGCAACAACACTCAACTAAAACATTCAACTTTTCTATTTTCAGACTTGCAGAAAAACTTCCTGCCGCTAACTTGGAATTAATCAAACGTTTCTTTTCCGTACTCTACCACATCTCACAAAATTGCGAACAAAATAACATGACGTCATTCAACTTGGGCGTCTGCGTTGCTCAAAGTATACTTAAGCCAGCGGAATCTGTGAAAGCTGAAACCGCTGAGCAAGCTAAGAGTACCGCACCTCAATTCGTGGAATTCATTATAGACAATTTTCCGGAAATTTTTGGTGAAAATGCTGTGACTGCTTTGGGTGATACTTCAGAAATAATTGTCGATGTTCCGACTGTTGCCGAGAACGGAGACTCGGAGGTTTTCGACACCGCCGAAGAATCCCGACCAAGAAGCCAATCGTTGCATCATAGCGATTCAAGTATATATAAAAGTGTGACCGAAGAGGATAAAACGGAACAAACAGGGAATTTGTTGACAGTAATGGATAATAATGCTAACCTAAGCAAAAGTACCCCTAGTTCACCCAAATTACAACGAAAATCAGAAAAAACTTTGGACCCCAACGAGATTTCAAAGAAAGTCCACTCAGCTTTTTATCATCCAAAATATTCACCAAGGTACATTAGACGAAACTCGGATAAATCATCAAAAATCGAATCGGATAAACTTCGGGAAGCTGTACGATCACGAAAGGAGCCCGAACGATCACGAAAGAAGCCCGTCATCCTTACGACGACGACGTCGAGTGCCGAACTTATCGAACATGTCCCGGATGACATTATCAGGTTATCGAGCAGTTGCAACTCGTTATCTGCTGTCAGACCTGAGCCCGCAATGGTCAAGAAGACATCTGCCACCAAACGAGAAGGGATGTTATACGCATCCAGTCAAAATTTTTATACTGCGCCTGCATACATTGCTGAACGCGTAAATACGGTGCATGACAGGCGCAGACAGCCGGCAGCACCATCATACCAGGAACATATGCAACGGACCAGGTGCCAAAAAGCTCCGGCCGTCCAGAAAGGTCTGAACGTCCAAATACCGAACTCTACATTACGGGAAAGTAATAGCGAAGGATCTTTAGCCGGGAATAAAGTTCCGGGCGGAAGTAAAGCTACGGAGACTAAAGTCGGTCTAATGCTAAATGCTGAATCAGACCTGGATCCATCTCAAACACACACTACCCCTACACCAGGCCATTATTCAAACACGAACTACACCTCTAACCTCTCCCTAGGACATTCCTCGGGCTCGTGTCACGTGTCTCCGGCGAGTAGCGAACGATCAGTTCCGAAAATGAGCACCGGAAGTGAAACCTCTATCTCATCGTTGTCAAGTGTTGACGACATCATGGATACAAGCGATTCAGAGAAACTTGACGTAACGCGACTTAAACATATCCGGGACTTACTTGACGTGTCAGGGTATGCAAATCCGTTGAGAATTAGCACGGAAGCCGCTAACCTCATAACGAAGGCTCATGGTGAATGGGGGCACGTGATCGGTGACGATGAGGATATGGATGACTACCAGCGAATGATCATGGCCGAGGAGACGTATGTGTAGCCTGGAGTGACCAGTAGCAAGGTCAGGGCAAACTAGAAAACACTGTTACCAAGTCATGATTACCAAAGCTGGGCAAACCAGGAAACAGCTAGTTGTTTAAGATACGTTTACACACTGCGATTTGACGTGAAAATTATTACTGACGACACAATTCCTCTTCATTTGGTTGAAATGCAACCACTTTACGTGTACTTATTCGATTACAAACGCCAAAATACGAATCGCACATGACACGTTGCAGCGTGTAAACGTACCTTAACGTACCTTTAAAAGCAGTTGCCTGCATAAGATTTTCAGATGTTTTCGAAATCTTAAATTAGTGGTGTTATGCGTTATGTTAACCAATAGTTAGTGCAGTTTCTACGAAACTGAATTTGTAAATATTAGTATTATATACCGTTCTATTTAAAACTTATTTAAAAACACCATGTACATATGTCAGGAATTATCATATAGTGAGAATCAAAGTATAAAACAAACCATCGTTGAAATTTTTAATGGATAGATAGAGTATATATCATTTTGCGTGAGAATCTTTTTTACACCATAATTGTCTCTGCATCGATGTATCAGCCCACTGACGATACAGTGCTACTTTCCCAGGCAGGCGAACCCTGGGCGCACGGACTGCTAAACATGCACTACCCAGCCACACGAACTCGATTTCTGCATTACGTGGGGACAGAAAACGCACGTTTTTTACTGGTCCAAATGCGGTAAAAATATCGGTAAGTTCGCGTCGCGTATAACACGCGCGCGAGTTGCGCCCACACCAACTTACAGAGATTGTGCAAAAGTTATTACGTGAAATGTGCGCTTGTTGTTTCCGAAGTTGTTTCATGTTGTTTCTCGAATTCTTGATGGATTCTCTTCTAGGGATTACGTTTATTAAATTGATGGAATCTAAAGATAATAAAGACGATTTACCCATCAATTCTACAGGACACTTACACTAATTTTATTTTACTGTAACTGAATAGTACTGATTACTTCAAAATTGTCCAGAGGATCTGCCAGGAGTCCACTGGAAGCATGATTATAATTTCTAGGAATTAGAGATGAAAGCTACACCTGCATACCATTTTCCATGTCAAAATTAGACCACACAAACTTTCTGTACCTTTATTGCTCAGTGACTGTTCCATATAATCAATAGTTGGTTTACTAGCAACCATTTCTTTCAGAGAGCGTTCTTCATTTAAGATATTCTTAGCATTCCCTTGAAATATTGACGGTAGGTGAAAATCTCTTTCTGCGATTTCTTTATTTTCGGTTTTGTTTTTGCACAGAAAAGAAGCACATTGTTTAATCTTTGATTCAGTTTTCAGAAATCCACTGCAAACGGTGCTCCATACGCGATTTAATTTGTTATCAGACGCGTCGTTGATTGGTGGAAATTGAAAATCTGAGAATTGTCGAACAGACAGTTTTGACTTACATTCTTTTCCAGTAATGACTGGCAGTACCATCGGAAATAGCTAGAATTAGAAAGCAATTAGAATTTTTCCAGAAATAAGAGGATATATGAGTTCGTAGAAATTATCTCTTTGTGACGTCATTTCATCAATTTATATATACGTTGAGCGGTGTAGATCCCTACTGACTGAATATTGAAATATGCACAGTTTGAATTCTAAGAATTTTGCCTATCTAACTGTTGAAGTATTCATAACAAATACATTTCGAAGAATTCTATGAATAAACTATTTGGAATTCAAAAAATTTTCACTAAAAGAAAGTGAAACATAATCCAGACATAACCTTGTTCCCAGGACTTTTTTTACTGCGCCAGTGATTTGAGCTGCGCCTTCAGCCTTAGCAACGCTCAGCGGTTATCCCCATTGCTACAGAAATCATGAATGACCGCAAGGAATGATGGGCAATGTAAACGCCCCAAAAGATCACCGGGATATCAAACACAACGGACCAATCAGAAGGTGTTAAAACTGTCGTACTCGTCTGCTATTGGTCGAAATCTCGATGACGTACCCAGGGCAGATACCCGTGATTTATCACAACATAGTCCTCGTTCTTTCTTGTTGTTTCGCGGCTTTTGTAAACAGGAAAAATTTGCGGGATTTATCAAATATGGCGTCGTCTTCTTCCCCAATACTGAAAACTGCTGCGACTGGAATTCTCCAAAGTTCGGTGAGTAAAAAAATTGAAACATTGTGCACAATCTCACCGCAAATTCTTACGTTAACTTTTGTTGTTAATCTTTGCAGCTGAGCCCGAAGTATTTGCACACAAATTCGACTAGTCACACATGGCCGTTCAGCGCCATTGCTGAATTGATAGGTACGTTTAGCGAGCATATAAACAGTGTTCTTTAAACAAAATAGATATTATTGAGGACCATTGTTTTAAAATGCATTTATTACTGGAAAAATCCATACGAAAGCCTTTAAAATATTGGTATATTTGTCGCAGATAATGCATACGACCCGGACGTGAAAGCAAGTCAACTATGGATCGACAAACTACGAATTCATGGCAATCTCTGCTTGACCTTTACCGACGATGGCAACGGAATGCAGCCGGATAAATTACATAAAATGTTAAGGTAGGCTTTTATGAAGAGCTTTTTGCTCTTTTGCTTTTTTAAACGTGTAAATTGACCATGTATTTACAAATTGCCGCTCTTTATTTTGCAGTTTTGGCTTCTGTGAAAAGGTGAGTGGCCATCACGCGCGGGTCACGCGCGTTGTACTCGCGGTGGCCAAGTTTTACAAAGGGGTAGTGTGTGTGGGGGGGGGGGGGGGGGGGGG